AGTGAGGTGACCATTTTTTGGAAACAAAAAAGGCTGAAGGAAAACAACTATAAATGCAAATAAAATTAAAATTTATTTATCTCAAACTATTTCCATCAAAATACTCAATTTTTAAATTACATAACGCTCTCTTCATCTTCAGAATCGGCAGCAAAATGGTTATCTATGTAAAAAGGCTATCATGCCGGTCAGTGCACTCGAATTGCATCCGACGTTGGCTGCACTTTCGGTTGAATTCTAGCAAAACACTAACTTTCACGGATAAAATGTACTCAAACGTTGCAATAATTTTCTTTAAATAGCGTTCTTAACTGCCTCGAGGAATGTCGTAAGCTTTAGCTGTATATTTGACAGGTTCATTGAGCTAATTTGAAAAAATTACATACATGTTTGACAATATTCAGATCGACTACATACGCTTGCTGTCAAAATTTAGGTTGAGATGGCCGCAAACGAAGAGTGTCCACAACTGGTGCACTTCCCTTACATTTTTTGTGGTTGTTTTAGCCGTATTTTAAATATTTTTTTTTTTTAACTATAAAGCTGCTTTATCTATTGACTTGAATTCAATAGTCGGTCTTCAGCATTATTATTTGGAATTTTTGGTCACTTAGAAAAAGCAAATCTGCTCAACTAAAGTTTTGTTAATATTAAAAATAAGCTTACCGAAATGATTTTGTTCCACTTAGGCGCAATGTTATCGAAGCTAAGTGAAATTGTTAATGTTGAAACCGCATAAGCCGCCTGCTATGATATCAACAGCACACTGCAATGTTAACGTTTAACATTATCTGTTAACGGTTTAACATTTTCTGTAAACTACTAACATTAGCTGTTAAGTATTTAGCATTAATCACTGCATATTCTTTCGGGTTAAAACGAAGATAAATTTACATTGATAACTGCTTTAACGATATCATCTCTAAATGTTACAACGAATTAGTTAGAAAAGTACGTGCTAAATCCCTTCACTCGTATTGTCAACAGGTTGGCACTGACCTTACTGATATTTTTTTATATTACTCAGTTTCCTAGTGCTTAATCTCTATAAAATATGTCACACTCCAAATTATTTTTCAACAAGCGCCAATACTTACATACGTGTATGTATATAAATTTAATTATTTTATTTTAATCTTATTTTAGCAAGCAGTTGAGTTATTGTACATTTACATATAACAAATACAATTTAACAATTATTTTACATGCATTTATTGAGGCAATTACATAAAGGCTACTTGATGCTTAATAAATAAATTATATTCATGTAGAAATGCAAAAAAAATACAAGTAAATATATATTTATTTTATTACTGAAATATTTTATAAAAGAAAGCGCTGTATTATAAGCAAAACTGGAAAAAAAATATTTGCAAACATTTCGTATCTCTACTTGAAGCTTTTATATGTACCTTCCCAAGCAATTTTCGCTCCAAATGCTCTTCAATTATTGAGCCTTCATGTACACCTGTATACACATTTCCATCTAATACCAACTCATTCAACTATATCTTTTAATATCGCTCAAATTCATGGACACAAACATATGTTCATGTGTATGCACTTAACGTATATGCAGTTATTTTTTTAGCTACGAAAACTCCCCACACACATGTGAGAGGACTGCCATTACAATGTTATTAAGTTAATACTTTATTCAATTTGTTCAGGAAGATTTTTTTTGGAAATCAAACGAAAACTTTTACTTTTGCACACTTTTCCTGAAATTAAGCATTAGTTTCATGTGTGCATGTATGTGTAATGCGGTGTGTTTGCGTGTTTTGCATAGAAGTTTTTTTTTTAACTTCTTATCTAAATTGATTTTATTTTATTATAATTTTTGTTCAAAATCTTTTTTTTTTCTGCAGTTGCTTAAACTTCTTTATTATATTTGGACGGGTCTTTTGTCTGATGCTTATTTTTAAATGCGTATGAAGTGATGATGATGTTTTTGTAACTAGTGTTTGGTATTTATAAATTTTGACCGCATTAAATGAGTTTGTAAAGAAAAATACCCAAGCTGCGCACGATTATAATTCACGTCATGAAACGTAATTAAAGCCATACTTTCTGTGAAAATGACAAGAAATTATTCAATAATTTTTCCAAGCTTTGTTTCTCCTTTGAAACATGGGACCAGAAACAACAGAGACACCCTTTTGCAAGCCTGAAGACAATTTCATTAGATCCGTGAGCCTCTCATGTCTCATAGGCTTCACAAAAGCATTAGAACTAGACTTAGAAATGTAATAAGCGTAAACTCTCTATTTATCTCTCTATCTAACCAGCGGTTCAACGCCTCAAATCGGTGCAAATATTTGAAAAAAATGTAAGCTAGACTGGGAAGTTAAACTCAATAGGTCACTTAAATATAGATGCAGAGAATAATGCCCTCCATTCAAGTAAAATAGTATGGGGTCTAAGCCCCAGGATTTTCCGATGGATCTGTATTTCAGTAGTAAGCCCAACGCACGTTTTGATGGGCGATTGCTAATTTCATAGTTAGGATTCATAGATGTGATTTAATATGTATCAGCGGTGCACTTAGAAGCACATCCAGTGAGGCCGCAAATGTAATATTCTTCCACTGCACACTGAAGATAACTGCTATCATGATGGCTTCAAAGCAATTGGACAGGTAGTAGTGGGTTAATGCACACTGAATTCCAAATTAGTGTTGGAATGTCGCCAGATCAAAGGGTCAGCGAGGGAAACTGTGAAGAGGATGAAGTAGCTAGGTAAGGCACGCCCAATGAAGTCACAAATGAACAAGCTGCGTCAAGTTGGAATGCTACTACAATCTGCCTGCAAATCCAGGCCCACCTGCCCGAAATGGGTTAAGAAAATATATGTTTCTTGTCCTTTTGTCCAAAGTAATAAGTGTTCTGACAGGCCACTGTATGATAGGACAAGATGCGGAAAGACTAGGTGGAGGAGGAATCGATCACCCATCACTACTATCCTTTTTAACGAGGGCTAGATTTCGGATTTTTGGAACCCTACTGCTGTATGCTCTATTAAGAATAGCCGAGGCCAAAGTCATGTAGATAATTAGGTTCATTAGTGAATAGATAAGGAAGTCTGTTTGTCAAGCTTTTGGATCGCAATGGGTCTGCCTATTTATATTCGTCAGGATAAATAGGTAGTCACAACCTAATTTTAACCTTGCTAATGCTCGGATCCCACAGCTAAATCCGTATAACTTTTTCATCATTTTCGCCTACACTTGAACCCAAACTGAATCTTCTAGTCTAGTTTCATGTAAATCAATTTAGTTTATATGTATTGTGACAGTTTCACATCTCTAGTGACATTAAATAAATAAATCAAATTAAATTTTCGTCTGATTTTGTATGTCTGTAAACCATTGCTTCCACATGATGGTACGTCCATCATGAAATAATTTTCTATGCTGCGATTGTTATCGGTTATCGAATAACATGGAAAGCACCAAAATAAAGTAAGCAGCACAATACATGACCAGGCTAACAGTGTTGCATAGTACAAAAGTGGTACTATTTTGAATGGACCAAGGAAAAAACGTAAGGAATATTTTCGGTAAATATCAAACTGTTTCACTCAAACTGCAATTTCAGTGACATCTCAGAATGGAGTAGTAAGTGAAATCGGCGTTGATAGTTTATATTTAATGTATTTTTTTACCAAAAATACCTCAGAATAACTCATTTTATTATGCTTTTAATTTTGACAGCTTACACCAGTGTCATAAAGTAAATGCGAATTTAAGCCAGTTGAAAATAAGCCATCCGATCGTACTTTTGCAGGTGGCGTGCGAAAGAAACGGTCTGCCATTCAAATTGAAAAAGCATTTAATTTAAATTAAGCGACCATCTGTTAGAACTTCTAAGCGAAATATGTCTTCTCGTTCTTTGCAGCCATAATAAAATTTAACTACTTGGCATAAATAATGTTCAATATTTTATACTGAAGTTTTATAATAAATGCAGGTATATTTCTCAATTGAAAACTAACGGTGTTACATTCAAAAGTTGTGTGAAATGAGCATAGCGCACACTAAATCAATAAACGCCATAAGAAAATGATTTTTTGCTACAAACACTCATGACTACAAACAGTATTTCGTAGAACACAGTTCAGTTTAATTGCGTCAGTTTAATACCGTTAAACTGTCTTCTGTCTCTACTGAGCATTTAAGATTTTTTGAATTGGGACGTTTTTTGATTTAGTGTGCGGTATTTTTTATGTACTTTCTAAGGTGTATGTATGTATGTATGTGTGTTAAAAATTTTGCGCAAAAGAGTGAGAGATTTTAGTTGTAAACATAAGTGGATTGCATGCTAATATATATGTACTCGTATTTAGTTTGAAGCAATGCACAATCAAATTAGTACTATGAACTCTTAAGCAACTATTATTACATTTTGCACTTATGTTTTAATTTTGTTTTTTTCGTTTACTTTAACTGTAGTTATTTTAAGTTTTATGCTTTTGTTTCTTTTGCTTTTTATGTTTTCTGCTCTTTCGGTTTTCCTTCGGAACTTTTATTTGTTTCTTATGCAGATTTGCAGCTTTCTTATGTTCATTACATACTTATTTTATGCACTTCTTTGGTGTATGTGTGTGTGTGTGTGGTGGTGTGCGTAAGTGCTCAGCAATGTTGGTTGAAGGTTATTTTTTCCATAAACTGTGTGTGTTTTAGCATTTAGTACGTATGATGCGTTAGACATTTTCATCATCATAACTAGTAGTCATTTTAAACATTATAAAATTTTTGATTTATTTGAATGAATTTGTCTAAGCACTTGTTTTTCTCCTCAATAATGAGTATAAAATCTCAATTCTTGTACTTTCAGCTGCATTTTATTTCTCAGCATGAGCACTTACACTACTAATAAAGTCAACAATAAATATTTTGCTTACCATCATATCTGACAAAACTTGCATTATAATCATCGGAATCTTTCTTCAGCATCATCATCACCATCATCTTTTATCATCATCAACATCAACATTTCGACCAACGCCATCTATGTGTTTATTAATATTCTATATATATATATCTATTTATATATATATATATATATGTATGTATTAGTTTCTTTTGCTTCCACTACCACTATTCCTTGAATTTAAACATGCTCCTCCTTGCTGCCGCCCCAAAAGCGATCGAAACGGTCACGAGCCTTTTCTAGCACATCGTTCGCTGTGGTGCGCGCTGTCACCGCCGTGGTGGTCGACGTGGACGATGACGAAGTGTTGCCACCGCCACCAGCGCTGACACCAATACCACCACCTCCACCACCCAAATGAGCAATGTCCACATCGAAGATGGGATCATCAAGGCAGCGTAATGTTGAGCCAGGTACTGGTTTGCCGGCTGTTGTTGTTTTTGTTATTTGTTGTGTTTGTGGTTGTGGTTGTGATTGTGATGGTGAAGATGGTGATGGTAGACCACCAGCGCCAGCGGTTGGCTGCGTGGCGACAATTGAGCGTCCAACACCAACGGTACCGGTTGGACTTAGGTTGCCCATCTGCGGTTCGGCATGTTTCCAGGCTGCACTCGTCGTCGTGAATGTCATAGTGTGTGTATATATATGTGTGGGGGAGGGGAAAGTTACGAAAGTGTTAAACGTATTCCAATGCTTTCTTTTTTTTTTTGTTTTTGTTTTTATTTTGAAATTATTGGAACTTTTAGTGGATTTTTGCATTGAATTTTGTTTGCAGTGAATTTTTTTTTATAGAGCTTTTGCTCATTTATTTTATTTTTGAATTGTATTAAGCTTTTTTCTCAGTTTTTTTTTTCTTAATTTGATTTAATTTGATTTGCAGTTTTTTATACTTATGTATGTATGTTATGTGCTATGTAGTATGCATATAGATGTATATAAATTACTTGACTATTGGCGCAATGTAATGATGAATAGCGAATAAGTACGAATATTTGAAGAAGCTGGTCTGAGTTTGATATGGATTTCTTATGCGATACGGTATATATATCATAAATATATAATTAATATATATAAGTATGTATATATCTAATATATAAGATAGATATTTTGTTTTTGTTTTGCTTAAGTTGGCTAGCATTTTTTTGAATTTTCATTATTTGTGGTGAAGAAGCGACTTTAAGGCTTACCGTCCATTTTAGCCTGTTCGGTTAATTGTGGCGGTGCCGATTGTGGTGGTGGTGGTGGCTTCTCAACCGGGGTCGAAGCTTTTATTTCACTCTGTGGTCTACTATAGCTTTCACCTGGAAAAATGCAAAAAATTTAGAACAAATATTTTAGCATGTGAATAGTCTTGTCGTAAATGGGATGATATATGTAATTGAATCTTATTCAAATTCCAAAATTATTGGAAAACATTCCTACTAAGAATTTTACTACAAGCCAGAAATACTAAATAGAGATCTCTCGAAGGAGGTGCACGACCTTAATAGCGGAGGAGATAAAACCCATAAAATACGGTCGATGAAACGTTCTGCGTACTGCAGTTAGTCACGTAAGTGAAACATAAAGCAACCTCTGTATTGATCAAGACCCCAATAAAGAAATGAATTGAATATTATTTTTTGCTTTAATTTTGGATGTTGGTCGAAACAGTAAGAAATTCTCACAACTTGGCTATTTCAGCCGCCATTAAATGAAATAAAATAGTTAAAAGGCAAGATCGTTTACCGAGAGCACAGCAACTGAGTACGATAGCTCGCCCGTGGATGCTGGTCAAAGTAGGTGCCTGCGCATATAGAAATCAGGAGTGCTCAGAGTATCATAGGAGACAAAGTTCAATTGCTGGACCTATATGAGTAATTTAATTGGAACTCCCTTAACCAACGCCCAAAATATTTGATCCTAATTCTAGAAGGGTCGAGGCGTAGTGCTTTCCCAAATGCGAACACAGTGAATACATTTTTCTATTTGATGATGGGAATCTTACAAATCAAACTCTAACGAATTCTATGATGTTGTCTAACGGAGACATACTTTTTGATCCAAATTGCTACCAAAAGAACTTGTGAACTAAGTTTCATCAATGTAGACGTCTAAGGTAGTTAAGGTAGTCTTTATTTTTAGAATAGGAAACACAGAGTGATTAACTACTTTTTTGCACATCCGGGCATTTTTTTTCGGATTGATTCATGACTCCTTGCCCTTTGCCCATTTTACCTTGTGACACGAATTCATGATGACCTATGCCTTTAAATCAGAGAACGTAGTAAACATATGCTTGAGACTCTGCCGCACTTATCGAGCCTTTTTCGATGTTGGCAAGTCAGAATGCCTCCCACACGATGACTGAGCCGCAGTTTCGTCATCAAATGATACCTTTCAGTAATTCTGCATCGTCGTAACTCCTGAGCCATTTGGCATTCCCATCGCTTAAAAATTCATTATTTTTAATACCATACTGAACAAGCTTCTTTAACAAATGAAAATGACCGCCCCTAAAATTTTGCAAACTTTGATCCGTTTGAGATAACTACCGACCACTTTTTGGCACATATTGCGCATCTCAGCTCAAATTTGATCAATATTGGTTTTCAGTTCACCAAGTCCAATGTCCAATTGACGTCGCAAAAATAAGATATTACGCGACCCGGAAATCTGTCTCGCAATAAAGCCATATTTGCTGGTATTGTGTGGCCTGTGGCACAATCTTGTGGAAATCACATTTTTTCCAAGTCGTGTTCATAAATTGCAGGCCAAAAAAAACTCGGTTACCATACGACTACAACGGTCCTAATTGTCAGTGGTAGTTTCGTCGTTAACGTTTTCAAGGAAGTAAGCGTCAATAACAACTCGAAGGCAAAAGAGCGCACCATTCCGTAAGTTGCATTGGGTGTAATGTCCTTTTTTAAGTTTTTCAAGGATTGTCGGAGAGCCAACTATGATAATTTTACCTATTTACGTATATACGCCATAAAGTGCAGTAGTAAATTCTCAACTCTTGGGAACATGAGAAATGACACATTCGGATCTTCGGCTACCCCTTCACTCACAGTAGCGATATTTGCGATAGAACGAGCAAAATGAACATGCATAGGCCTTACACTATTTGTCACCGATCCTGTTCCTCGAATATCTTTAAAGTTTTACTAGTTGGACATTTATGTGTGCCATAATCTCCTCTTAAAGCACAAACCTCAAACATGGCTACGTTGCAATCACTATTTTTAACGCGTTGTGTTGTTATTAAGCGATCCACTGTCATAAATGATTGATTTTTAACTTAAATGAAAAATATTTGGTTTGACAATTAAGTTTGACAGATGACAAAACACAACCTTGTACTTTTGAAATTACGAAATGGATAGCCTTATATACACTGTGTAAACAGTACAGTTCAGAAAATTTAGAATAGAACACAAGGGATTTTAGACCCAATTAACAAACCCTAACTTTTTTCGGAGACTACTTTTAACGCATTTTGTTATTGTAAGCCAAGTTCAAATAATTGCTTATAAATGATTACCTTCTTTCACATTCTGTGTAACAGTAAATGTTTTCCCTGTATCCAATGGCACAGTCCAGTTGACCGGATCCGGTGAACGCATCAATATTTGTTCTGGCGATTTAACGCGTGTAGGCTCTGGTGGCGACTTAACAATAGGCTCATCCGGAATTTCGGGCACCGGCTGAGGGCTGCAACTCGATACTGAAATTGCCGTGTCACGTCCATCTTCGGCATCGTCTACGACGTTAGTGAGTATTCGTGTAAAAGCGAAATTAATGATAATAAGAAAGGAAGAATATATTTTAGTAAATGATTAAAATAGGGGAATTTATTAAAACATTTTTATTTTTAATTATCTTTACAAATTGGAAACCTACAATAATTCAATATCATTTTATATTATTATTATTAATATCCAATATTTATAAGTAAATATTTATAATTTTATAATTTGCATATTAAATATCTTTTTCGTTGCAGTTGGAAGCAAATTTTTTGGTTAGATTTTTGCGGTTAGTAAATTGAGTATTTGGAAAAAAATTTCATCTTGAACTCAGTAAAATTTCGTATGAACACATAGTTATGTTTGTAGATAAAAAAAAGAGAAAACACTTAAAAATTATTAAAAAAAAAAAATTTTTTAAATATTACTTTCAGCTTTTAAAAGCAATAAAAAGCACTGAGTTACATAAATCAACGGAGGAAAGAGAGACAAAAAAGGCGAGAAAACAAAATTTGGTCAGTGGTTAAAAAAGCAAAGCGGGTTATTGAGGAGCTAACACGGCTTAGAGTAAAAATTTGCCAATCAAGGAAATTTCTTAGAGCGACGCCCGTCATTGCAGGTATGTATTTACATGGAAAAGTTAAAAAACACACAAAAGAGCATAGGCAGCGCAAGCAGTTTTGAGTATTTAAAATATTTCGTAAATTTATTATTAATAAAATCATTTGCAGTTAGTTCTTGTTAGTCGGTTAGTTTGGCATGCAGCACACAGAATATAGACACGAAGTATTTTATTTTCTTACAACTATTTATATGTATATAGTAATAGAGAAATATAATTTAAAAAACAATACTTCCGAACTGAATGCTTAAGAAGTAAACTTAACAACAATTGGGCTAACAAAATTGTAACTGATTCAATTATACATTATGAGTTTAATGTATATGTGTGTGTGAGTGATTGAGATATAAGTCGTAGATTAGTAAATACGTATTATGCAATTTTCCATCTATTCTATTTGATGGTAAAATATTTTTAATGGCCAATTCAAACCTATTTTTCACTATATTTTTTTACATTTCCGTTGAGAAAATTTTGAGAACCCAATTAAAAAAAAAAAAACAAAAAGAAAAACAATTGTCGTTTAGTGTGTTTAATAATTACCTAAGCTCTATATAGAATATATATATAAAAAATACGAATATTTGGTATTAGTGGTCGATTTATAGGTAAATATTGGAATATTAAAATAATTAAACATTCTTTCAATAGTCTAAAAATATACACGTACATACATTCAAATTAAACTACGTTTCTAATTAAAGTGAATTAATTAAATACATATAAGATTTTATGCACAAAATTCAACAAAACACATGTGACATTTGTTGTTATAGTAAACTTTACAGTACATACATTTGTGTGGCGTAGGGTTTTCACAAATGTGTATTTTTATGGTGAACCTTAATTTAAGCAAATTACATAATACAATTTTTTGGAATACAAGCGAAGTTATTTTTCCCGTGAAATTTTCTGATTTTTAAATCATGGGTCTCACCCCTGGACCGAGTATCATCAAATAAGTTTTAAATAAAAAAAAAACGCTGTCTCGACCATGTCGCAGTCTGTATTTCCTACACGAATAAAGCCACCATAAATACTATAAATATTTCATTTAGCATTAAATATTAATTTTCATATCTTCCAAAGCAATTGTGAGATAGTTCATCGATTTCGCTGATTTTTAGTCTCAATATTTTTTTTCACGCTCTTAGATGCTTTCTTGGCGGATTCTTAAGCCAAATGCGAAAAAATCGCTGATATTGGCTAAATGACCTCATCTTTGGTGGGTACTTCGGATGAAAATAACAAAAAACATATCATATAAAATCTCATGCTCATGAAAGATGTAATATTTAAATTTATTAACCTCGAACACTACTTACTTCTGACATGAAATAAAAGAAAAATAAAAGAAAAATAATAGAAAGTGGAGCCTATCATTAAAAAAGCCCTCAGTCAAGAAATTTAAGTGAAGCAGCTGGTGGCCGCAGCTGATAGGCGATAGAACAATCAAATACTTTTCAAATTCGTTGAAACTATTGTAGTTGTCTCACGACGGTCAGCTACAAAACGAGCGATTTGAGGCGTTTGCGCGAAAACCACCATCGTAAGCCGCCGTAACACTGAGCTGTAGTTGTGAACGATTTTAAGACCAAAAACTCGTTCAACACCATCGATTAACCACCGTATTCACCGGACTTTTTCTTGTTTCCAAAACTAAGGTTACAATACCGTGGAACCCGTTCCGACATGATTAAGGGAACTGAGGTCGACTGATTTAAACAGTTGCCACAAACAAACTGGTTGACAGATCGCGCTTATTTTTCGCATAGTAATTAAGGGCAGGTACGGAAGGAAGTGTAATGTGCAATTGTAAAATAGTTTGTAGTATGCATGGTTAATGAAAACCGGGTTCGATATGAATAGAAGAAGAGTCGAGCGGGAGCCTTTGAAACGCTAGCTAGCAGTCGGGATGGGGGGGATTCTTGACACTTCAACTTCCACTATTTGCACATAAGCACATAAACGATTATTATAGACTCCCTTGTTTCACAACAAAATAAATAAATAGAATACAACATCTGCTCTAAGATTAAATGGACCAAGGCCAATCATACAAACAAAAGAAAATCCCCTGTATGATCGGGACATACTGTGAAGAAAACTAAAGAACAAAAAAAAACAAAGCTACTCGATCAACTGGTTAGCAGAAGAAATATACAATTATATCTTAAAGGCGTTATTAAGATGTGCGCTTCTTTAACCCACCCTACCTTGACTTTGCGATGCGCGAAAATAGTATGCAAAGTCCCTAATCTTCTACTTAACCATATTCCACCATATCACAGTAAAATTCTTAATTTAAGAATTCATATTTGAAATTTAAAAATTTATTCACATTCTTAATATTATGTACAAAATGGAGATAAAATATAGGAAAATTCAAAGTAGACTACTTCAATAAAACATCTTAAAAATATACATTTTGAGCTTTAGATTACTAGAAAAGAAAACTAATTTATGCAAATGTACTGTTTCAAAATAACACAAAAAACAATAACATGGGTAATGTTAAAGAAAACTAATAAAAAAAAATAACTAGAAATTCAGTACAGGTGAAATTTACTTAAGATGCATGGCAACCATAGGCACTCTCTGTAATTTGCAAATCAGTTGTGCTCTTACATATTTACTCTACCCGCTCCTTCACAGATGAGGTGAGCCGGTGTAGCTAAACTAAAAGATCAGCCGATCGGTGAGCATCCTCTGCTGCGAATAAGCAAGCAGGAGAGTCAATGAATGTAATTACTGTAAGGTAATAAAATTCAATTCTCTCATACAAAAGATTAATACAAAACGTATATGAAAAAAAATTGGTATAATAATTCGTATAAATATTATAGAAGTGCACTTACATTTTCCACTTATGGCATGATGATCGTCGAAGGCCTTCACGAAGATCAGCAATAATGTTGAAGCAGCTAATTAAATGATCATTACAATGTTATGAAATATGTACATATGTATGAGAAACTGCATACCCTGAATGCATTAAGTTGCCATACACGTGTGTTTTCTTTTTCTATAGCATAATTAAATTAGTATTATTATTATTGAAATATTCTTAATCTCTTTACCAAGCTTTAATTATAAAAAAACTTATATTTAAATAATACGTGTACGTTACACATCTATAACTTCATTTATGTACTTTTTACGTTTTAAAGGATAATTCACATATTATAATTTTCTTTGAATTAATACCATTAGTCAAATATTCACTACACGCTCATAAATTTTTGGCATAAATAGCCAATTAATCAAGACGAAAGTTATTTTTCTTATTAATTTAGGCCATACTTCTGCCTTAATCTTCAAAGAGGACAATATTGCAACTGTAGTTGTCCAGAAAGTTGTATTATTGTATTAAATGGTGATCACCAAGTATTTTAACGAGGTGTCTGACCATTTTCACACGTAATAGATGAATTTCTCCGAATCCACGATGAAATGTTGCAACAGTATGGATTCTGAAGAGCTTTATAGAGCTGGTGATGAAATGCAAAGGCCAGATTCGCTGATCGTGGCGAACCAACTTGAGCGTTCCACGTGGTCCTGGTAAGATGATGGTGTAACTCACTTTTAGACACAAAATAGTCTTCGATCTGTTTTATAAAATGGTGATGTTTCCACTTCAAGAGTTAAATAGAAAAGGCCTCTCGTAATCTTTGCAAAATATTATAATGCTTCTGCTTGACATATAGATAAAATGAACTCAGTTGAGAGATGAACCCCAGTGTTGCATTTTTTTGGGAGTTATCATGAAATTTCTCTGTATTATCAGATCACGATAGTTGGTTAAATTTTAGTAAAAAAAATTTTTAAAATGTTCACTACAGAAGGTGTATTAAATGTATGTCTAAGCTCCTACGCTCGGCAGCATAAAGTATAAAAGTTACCCTGAAGATTCAGCGAACAAAAATGTATGTCAATTAGTAAACATAGCAATCTCTATATACTTCAAATAGCCGACCAGAATCGGAAAAAATGTGAATATTGTTCATGGTCCTGAATGGCAAGGAATAATTTACTACAGCTGCTGCTGCCAAACTTTTAATTCATACCAGCACTGTTAGCATTTGGACCGTCTGAAGGAGGCAATCACCCAGCAGCGTCCGGCTTTGTACAACATGAGGAGAATTGTATTTCATTCACCAGAAGCTTCGAGAGCTTTGTTGAGATATTCGTATGCAACCACCTTATAGTCCGGACCTTACACCAAACGATTACTAATTTATTAATATTTACTAAACAACTAAATTCCAATGACAGGTTGTCAGGTTGGGGCAAAGAGGGGTTCAATTTGCGACGTGCCATCCAGTCGGCGTTAAGATATTTAGAGAAGGTCTAAAGCATCAACTTAATTTCTATAAATTTACATACTATATTAAATGCACAGATCATATTACAAAAGCAATAGTACAGACACGCACAAAATTATATATTACGGTAATTTTTTTTATGTGTTTAAAAATGGACATCTTTTAAAGCCTCTAATGTTCTAATAAATTTTTAATTGTTCGATATAGTACATATTTGAAGGGAGGATGGTTTCGATAGCACAGCTTACAACATTTTTACAAACATACATACACGTATACTACATACACATAAATTAAAATGAATAACAGTTTAGATAATTAAGTATCATAATCTTTGTTATTTTGAAATTGCTGATTGTGTTTTTTATGTTATTGTATTTTACATGTCTAAAGAAAATAATATATTATTAATTTATTTAATATTTATTGTTAATATTTAGTTGCAACAAAACCAAACTAATGTTAGTACGATTATTTGTGTATAAATACATACAGACAAATTTAATTGTACTTATGTAAGTATGCAAATACAAGATGTGTATGCAGATATATTTGCTTCTTCTTCTACTCACTTTCACCAAATTTCTTAATATCCCGCGTATATGGCACCGTTAAGCCAGTCAAGGTGAGATTTTTGGCCGTCACTGGCTCAACGGTTTTCATCGCTGTGACATCACCACCGCCAACACCAGCACCACCGACCATACCAACACCACCACCAACATCAACACGACCACCACCACCACCACCACCGCTGCCACTACCACCAGCGGCAATATCAGCAGCACCAACGCGAGCACCACCAATCGGTAATTGTCCGAAAACACTTGTCGTCATAGGATCAGCGCCACGACCACCTGACAAATGACCATATACACTTGCGCTCATAAGATTAGTGGCATCTGAATTTACATTATTAGAGCCCGGTAACTGTCCGAATATGCTGGTCATCATTGGATCCACCAATTTGGGCGGCATGCCAACTGCCTTGAGTTCAGCTTGAGCTACTGCGGTGGGTTTTTCTGCGACATCATTTTGAGCGTTGCTAATTTGTGCCGGTTTTGTTGATTTTGTCTTTTCTGTTGCAGCTTTCTCGCCTTCTTTCACTTTTAATTCTTTGACGTTTGTTTTCGGTTTGGTTTCTGTTGCTTTAGCTCCGAGCTTTGTCGTATCAATTGTTGCCGCTTTCCCCTTTGCGCCGCTTATCTCCGCAGTTGATGGTATCATGCTAGCCTCCGTGGCCGAAACAGGCCTTGCTGGCCGCCCGGCACTTGCTGTCACATGCATCGCTGCGCCGGTGGACTTTGGACGCGCCTTCGGAGTTCGTTGCTCGCCACCTTTTATTAAGTTTGTCTTGTCCTTGTCTTTTTTGCGCAGTAAGGGCATGCCGTATGAGGTTTGCGTAAAGTTCTTACACAACGGATTCGATTTTGGATGTTTACTGAGTGGCTCATTTGTGGATTTCTGTTTAGCAACTGCTGTGGTAGTTGTAGTAGTAGTGGTTGCTGCGGACGCAGCAGTAGCGCTTTGAGCTCTGCCGCTTGGCGGTGGTAGGGAACTACTTTTCGTACGGGAATGGAATGTGGTGGATAGAGTGGCTATGAAAAATTGTATTCAATTTGTTTTTGTAGTTTTTTTGTTTTTTATATAATTTTTTTTAATTTTTTTTTGTTGATGAAGATATATATTTTTGAAAAAACAAAATAAAAGCAAAGATTTTTTTTTACTCAGCTGCATTAGGAATTTGTGTTTATTAACATTTCTAATATTAACTACAAAGAAATAGTTTAAGGAACTGATTGTAATTACAACTGAATATAGCAAAAAGAAAGCAAATCGTAAATGAATGAATTAAAGAAAGACTACAAATGAAAATCAATAACAGAGATGAAACTACAAAACATAAAGAAAACATTACGGACATTCGCCTCCCGAAATCCCAGATTGTTGCTTCGGAAAATGCTGAAGAATTGGAGCTATTGCATTTAAGCTATACCACAAATCGGAACTTATTTACAAAGTTGCTATTTAATTATTATTATTATTTTGTAACGAGATAGAGTTAAGGGGCACACCTAGTTTAAATGTCTAAAAAAAGGTGATTTTTGGGAATTTTTATAAAAAAAATACTTTATCAATTATTTCAAAACTTTAAGAATATATTTATACACGTTTCAAGATTATACAGTGAAATTAAAAAAAAAAATTAAAGATTTTTTAAGTTATAGTCGATCTCCAATGGCGCGAAAAAAAGGTCCTTCACTGCTGCAGTGATTTCAGCCTTCTCCGTGGATGAAATATAAAAAAAAGTATTCAACTAGATAATATTTTCTGTACAATGACTTACGATAAAAAAAAATCAGAAATTGACAATATGGCGGCGTTTTAAAAAAAATAGTCGAATTTTACCCAAAACTTTGGTCGTTTTGGGCCGGCCAAAATTCGATTCTTTGATCAGATAAAAAATCGATAAGTCATTGTACGGAAAACTATATATAGAACATAGAAAAAAATTCGATAGTGATCAGATTATTTGTTTTTGAGTAATCACTGCAGCAAGTTCGGAACAAGCAGTTTTGAGAAAAACCCGTTTAAACATAAAATGATCGTTTTCACTCGTAGCTAATGAGACTCTCCAGCTGCCGAGCGGCTGCTATTTAAATTGCTATAACTCAAAAACTATTTGAGATATCGATTTGAAATTTTAATATGTTATTTTCAAAGGGGAAATATGAAAAATGATCGATTCTGTTGAAATTTCACACTAGGTGTGCCCCTTAAAGCCAGAGTCTAGAGAGTAAAAGTTAATATTTCATTATAAACTAATTAATTTAATTATTTTCTATTAGAATTTTTACAGATTGAGTGTTTATATTGAACATGTGTAGGTTCTGTTCAAATAGAGTGTTGGGAACATATGTAATCTTAAATCATTCAAAACATTATATAAACTGTGATTTCCACATAAAATTCGTTCTATTCCAGGAATATAATGGAGTCGTGCCTGAATAAATATAGCTTGGACCAATATATGTTAAAGTTAATAAATATAATATAATATAGGGAGCGTTGCCATTGGCACTCTTAATCGAAATGGTCTCTGAGACTCAAACTTATCAAGAAGCTTTAGTTCTGTAAATCAAACACATTTAATACCTCAGCCATGTTATACGCTATTTCCTCCAATTTATATCCTTTTAGAGGCCGGATTGAATGAGAGGTATCTTGTACAGGAGGTAGGTATATTTATATTTCTATTTTATTTTTATTTTTTTGCAATTTTTCTTTGTGGTATATGTTTAGCGATGTCCAATGATCCCAAGCCCACCCAGAGGACACTTAGTCTAAGAATGGAAGGATGGAAGTCGTGAGCTCTGTGAACCATGTGTAAACTAATAATACATGACCATACTGATATGAATGGTAGTCAAAAGCTTTCCTCACTTTTATGAACTTCTACATATGGTCTCATGGTCATAATAATTTGTACCTTGAAATTCTTCGTATTGGCAACGGCGAATACCGCAGACCATTGAAGGAGTTATATGATGACAATGACATAGTTGACTAAATTAAGAGGCATCGGCTAGTCCGTCCGAATAGATGAAAGCACTCCAGCTTTGGAAGTATTTGATGCAGTACCCGAAGGTGGAAGCAAATGAAGGAAAGGCGACTTGATTTCCCTTGGTTCGATATTTTCAGCTGGTTCCAAACAGCGAAAGGAAGGGATGCCATTATTGATTTGGCTATAATCACTTAAGTGGTGCCTAAGCCAATGCAGAGAGAAAAGAATAAGCTCTACTTCTAAAGCTATGTTCGTAAGTTGGGATCAGACATAAGCCCCTTCTAATAATATCATACAAAGAAAGTATGTGGTTGATGAGACAAAGGCGTTTTTAAAGCGATGAATATACCCATATGGAAGTCGCACTTTATTAATAAAAAAACTCCGTCTACTTCTGTCCACTAGAATTATTTTCCTTCCCTCATAATTTTTAATTTTAATTGCAATTTTAGTTACTGAATTATCGAAATGTTCTGTATATATATGTATCTGATCTAAGAAATGTGTTAACCAAGTTTACACAGACAAATTGACGTGACAGTCAGTCCATGTCCATGAAGCTTGATATGCCTATTAAGGTGAAGCAAATAGCTTTTAACATTTATGGGTTAAATAAGTGTTGTTTGGTTATGTGATGGACCAAATTTGTTCGAGATGGTAAAGGTTTACAGAATAAAGAGAGAATTCTTTCCAAGATCAATAAGAATAGAGATAATCTCTTTTCTCCCAGACATTTAAGTTACTCTACGATTGCGCAACTATTCATAACACATAGAATAATTTGGGATTACAAATAATTTTCAACTTATTCAGATATTTAGATATATTCGTATATACAATAGTAGACACTCATAATTACAAAGAACAAATAACTGCTAACATATTCAAATTTTCATATGATAAATAACCAAATTTTCGACATGCTGAAAGCTATCTAATTACTAAGGTAGAAGTTAATTCAAAAAGTATGCACATACTACAACAAAATAACATTCTTCGTTTAGATTTTTTTCTTTCATATTCTATATCAGCTCCAAAAAAGTAGAGAAAAACGTAGTCGGATCTTAGCTCTTATTATGTATAGTTATTAATCTCGATAGCCTTTTTGTCAGTCGACGAATAAGTAATTTAAATATAATGTAATGGCCGAAATGTTTCAAAATCCTTACCGAATCGAAAAATAATTAATCCTTATGTCAGTTCGAAAAATATCTCGAAATTATTTTAACTGATGACTCACTGAAAAAAATTATATATATTTTTTTTTATTTTTTTTTAAATTCGTTATTTAACAAACTATCACAGATCTTTCTCGTAAACTTCTCTGTTTGTCATCGTGATATTATACTACCTTACAAAAATATGTTCTGTTTTAAAATTAAAAATAATTGAGAACATGAAATAGCATTCCTCAAAATATTTCCAATAAGAGCGATGAGTCGTGGTTAGAATTAATAAATATTTTTATTAAATTTGACCCAGTTTAAAACTAACAATCCCAGTAAATTAAAAGTCTGGAAAAAGTTGATGTTAAATTTCACAGTAATTCAAAACGTTTCACTTGTAACATTTGGAAATATTATCTTTAAAGTAGTTTTGAAAATAATTTTCGTTATGTTTTTAACCGAAATGAATTGCTGTCATTAGTGTTAAATCGAGAACACAAAATGTTAACATAATTGTTAATGTTAACACAAATGTTAACTGCATAATGAGTTTGCAAACAGTCATTTAAACGATTGTCACTCGGTTGATCACCATATTTTTCACCGACCAACAAGTTCTTTTCGTTTTCATAAAGTCGATACGAAATAATTTGTATTTAAGGACAATGTAAGAATATATGTGAAATATATTATTTTATTAATATTATTTTTCTTTTAAATCACTTTATTATAATTTACTTTATTTTACTTTATTTTATTTTACTTTATTTTATTTTACTTTATTTTATTTAGCGACCAAGTAGTCGGTGTTACGTACTAATATTCCAAGGGTGATGGATTCCAATCTTGGACCTACTCACATTCAAATTTATGGAAAAATTATTTTATTAAAAACTTGATTTAAATACAAAACTTAATTTAATTTTTAGTGGTCGCCCTTCGGCTGGGTATTCCAAGCCCTTTTAGTGTATTTCTGGCATGAAAAAAGAGCTTCTCACAAATCAGCCGTTTTGGAAGCAATGGGTTTCCTCATTCGTGGGTAAAACATCATGACGCAAATCACAAATTGGGTAAGAGACTCAGTTAAAAATCAATTCAGCGGTTACAAAGCTCAAATTATATGCAGATCTCTCCCGAGGGGTACTCCTCATTGCGGCTACTATCACCACTTCTCCTAGTATTAAATAAGTTGTTGTAAATCCAACAAAGGACAGGAGTAGAAATTATGGCTTCAAAAGGTAATTAGAGAGCTATCTGACTTCACCAATAGTAATTGATACTTTACTATCAGTAGGAAAGAAAGTGAACTAATTGGGAAATGTGCAAACGTGGAAAAAGAAGCCAGTTTATTTGCGAATGGATCCAAAATAAATAATAGAGTGGAATGTAGCTTCTTTTCTGCAAAAAAAAATACCAGAATCGCCTTTCGTTCACCAGATCACTTCAGTGCTTTTCACCCGAAGATTATCGCAATTAAAATATGGTTCTTAATAAATATTTATCCCTGATGATCTAATTAAAAATAGTGAAATTGTTTTTTTATTTATTCGGAATAATAAGATACCACTACAGCAAACGATGGGTTGTTGGACACAGAGTTATCCTATATCAACTGTAAGGCAGATCAGCTAGCTAGAATTAGGTGGATAAAATCGCCCTCGGTTCAAATTGATTAACTTAATTAAACCATAGGTGGGCAGAGAAAGTAAGCCAGTGTGGGAGAAAATTACAGTCCCAGTGGTTTAAAAAATGTGTTATATTAAGAACTAGGTGCGGAGGAAGAAATCCATCTCAATCCAGTTTAATCTTTTTTATGATATCTTATCCCGATTTCTGTTTTTTATTTCATTTCATTGTATTGTTTTTTTTTCATTTTTTTATTTTTTTTTAGTTTTTTTTTACATTTCTTTATTATATTTTTTTATTTCATTTTAAATAATTGTATTTCACTTAATTTTTTTATTTTATTTTAAATAATTGTATTTCACCTAATTTTTTTATTTTATTTTGTTTCATTTTATTTTATTTAATTTTTTTTTTTTTTTTTTTTTTTTTTTGATTTAATTTGATTNAATTATTTTATTTTTTAATTTTTTCATTTTATTGTTTTTTTTATTATATTATTTTATTTTATTTTATTTTATTTTATTTTATTTTTTCATTTTATATTATTTTAATTATTTTATATTACTTTGATTTATTAAATTCTGGTTTATTATATTTAATTTTGTTTTATACTTTGTACTCGATTCATAAAATAGAATAAAATATGTCTAAATAGATGAATAACTTAAATAACGAAAACCAGTGGAATATAAAAAATATATACATCAGTATCTACATGCGCATGTAGAATAAAATTTACGACATATCTAAGTAGAAAAATGCTAAGGGTTATATCAGACATTGACATAGAAATGTATAGAAATGTGGATTTTATAAATTTCAGTTTTTCATAACCCACTAATTACATAATACATTACTAAGCTATTAACACTTCATAGAAATATACAGAATAGATATAAAATATATTTATCACAAAATGTTTGAAATCTATTATTTTTCAAAAAAAAAAAAACCTTCTAAGTAACACTTATTTCAAATACTAACAAACGGTTCTCAAATGCTTCCAACTCAGTAACGGCGAGTGTGTGTATGTAGTTTGAGGCCAGTAATGGAACCTACTATGCAATCAGCATACAATTTCTAGTACTTAATGCAGGGAATGTAATGAAATGTTAAGGAAATTAGTCATGAAACATGAGTAATGAAAAATTAATAATACTAAATGATGAATTATGACTCATGTACATGAGTGACAAATGAATGAATGACAAGCAAATTAAAAAAAAAAAACATAAAAAAATAAAAGTAAATAAATTTATTTAATATTACAAGAGAACTTAAGGAAAGAAATGAAAACTAATTAAAAATAAAGTGAGAAAGAATACAAAAATATAAATAAAAGCCACAATTACAATTATGAACTTTATTTTACACATCGAATAACATTTGCTTAGTAAAGATGTAAAGTAATATTGAAAACTATAAGCATTAATTACAAATTAAAATCACAACAAATGAATTGTATGGCATTTTTTGATGCGCTGCAATTCACAATGCAAATTCTTCAAATTCGCTTTTTCTTTACAACAACGTCTACTTACATGGTCTGGCCTTACGTTCGACTGTTCCTGTTGTTGCTGTTGTTGCTGACGTATGATGGGATACTGTGGGTGTCTTCTTGCCAGCTGTCAGCCGGGCGCTAGGCGCTGTACTGGCTGAACGTAATTGACGTTTTGGCGAGACATGCTCAGCCGGACCAACGGATTGTGAACGCGCTGTTATTGGTTATAGTTGTAATGATTGTTGTAGTTGTTGTTGTTGTTTGTTTGTTTGTTTTTTTTTTTTTGTAGGTGAAATTTAGTGATATAGAGGAATTTTTATTTATTTAAATTAGCAAATGAATATTAGGAAATTGACTGTATTTTGTATCAAATTTTCTTTCCTATTTTTGAGGTGTAGAGTTTCGAGGATTTGTGATTTGAATGGCATGGTAAATGTTCATTTGTGGTTAGGTAATATTTAGTTTGTGAATAAACACACACACATTTAGATTTACAATTCAAATCATACACATATTCAGTATTCATTTATATATATATGTACATATATAAATATTTATACAAATAGCTGAGAAGAAATAGTGAAGGATATTTAATTCGTTTTATATTTTATATATATAAATGTATATAAACAGAGACAAGGACACACACACATACATAGAATTTTAGCTAAACTTATGAACTCAATGTATTCTCTAATCACTACTTGTTGGTGTTATGCTTTTGCGTGTTTATGATATCTTATTCGCTAGCAAACTACTCTTTCTTGCATTTTCTAGCACTATATTTTGTTTGTTTACATAAAATATTTTTTATAATTGTTATATATATGTATATATATACATAAGTGTATGCTACGACAAATTTCGTGGGCACTAGATATATTTGTATTCGGTGATTTTGTGGTTGGCTCCTCCTGTTCATATCTACGAAGACTTGAGAAACAAACTTTTCCTAAATTCTGGAGCTCTGGACTACATATTTAGGGTGATTTTTTAGCTATTATCTTTTTGGCAACATTGGTTTAAGCAGCTGACGCATGTTTCGTGTTTTGTGTCACTGTTAAACATCTTCAGTTCGGTCTATAATTTAACCATGAATCGTCTTCCAAACGAACAACGCTTGCAAATTATTGAATTTTATTATCAAAAGAAAATTTAAAAAAAAAATTCTTCATCGACGAAGCTCAATTTCAGCTTAATGGATGCGTAAATAAGCAGAATTGTCACTTTTAGAGTGAAGATCAGCCAGAAGCATTGCAGGAGCTACCAATGCATTCAGAAAAAGTCGCAGTTTGGTGCGGTGTATGGGCTGGTAGCATAACTGTGAATGGTGAGCGACACCGTGAGATGATATCAAACTTTTTTTGATGACTTGCATGACGTGTGGTTTCAACAAGACGGTGCCACATGCCACACAGCACGCCTAACAATGGACTTATTGGGAGGCGAGTTCGGTGAACATTTTATTTCAAGTTAGGGACCGGTCAATTGGCCGCCTAGACCGTGCGATTTAACGCCTTTAGACTAATTTTTTGTGCGGCTATGTTAAATAAAATTGTCTATACAGACAATGCCGCTGGAGGACAACATTGAAGCAACAGTTGCATGAATTAATCTTCAAACATTAAATTATATAGACCGTACCATCGATTCAAATAAACATTTCATGCATTTTTCTGAATTTCAAGTGTTTTTTCTTTTGAAAAACTTTCCTACAGCTCTTAAAAAATCACCCTTCACATATGTATATATTATAAAATATATAAAATAAATTTCTAAGTACACAGTGTACGTGCATTAACAAGAGCTGTAGGTTTTGTTCAAACAAGTTCTAGAATTTCGAGCAGTTCGCGGAAAACTTTCGGTTTTCCCCAGCACTTTTTTCAAAATTTTTAAAATTGTATATACAAAGTATGAAGTTCATTGAAATTAAAAAAAATATCGACAAATAAAATTAAATTTCAAACTAATATTTGACGAGTTGAGCAATAAGTCAGTTTCGAGCGAACACCGAGCTAGTGTGAGCAGCTATGTATATAAAGGTTGATATAACATAAAAAAACAATAGTCACATAGTTCAATAACTCTGCGAGATAGAGGACCAACTTTGATTAAAATGGTCACAGATATGGTTGTATTCAGTGAAGTGGTTTAGGAGTTCTGACAAAATTATATATCAACGATCAAGAAGCTCGTTATCAATCTTCATATTAAAATTTCTTCATCACCATCTCAAAACTGTAATTTTGTATACTTTATGTATTTTCAATAGATGAGATGTCTTTTTGCGACTCTGATTCCTGTCAAGTATTATTCCTGGCATCGATTTTTTATTGTCTCAGTCGAAGTCAAAAAAGGAAAGGACTCAAAATACATTCCTAAGAAAGCTGAAATAACCCCTTCGAAGTTCTATGAAAATATGAGAGTACGCAAAGAAAGTTTAAAGACCGAGACTTACTCATATAGGAATCATAAAGGTGTGCTGATTACTGTTGTCTGGAGCACATTGATTTTATTGAGGAATTTTGCCGTAAAACCTGCAACCAATGACGATTGGAAACTCCTGCGGTCATCCGATTATACCGAAACTCAATCGCTAATATATGTAGATAACAACACAGCGGGGTTGGGGGTGTCCACAGCCTTCCGGTTAAGCTTTCCAAATATGGCGATAAAAAACTAGTGTATGCATCAGTTTCTTTCTAAAATAAGAGCAGAAAGCATACCAACGAATTGAACCTGCACTGCTCTGTCTAATCCATAAGAAGTGAGATTCAACAATCAGCGCCGAATACCAAAATAGGTCTACTCAATATTACATATAAACACTTATGTATGTAGCGATATTTTGTGAAAGACACCCATTGTCAACAACTAATAAATCGAGAGAAAACCCTTATGAACAGAATTTTCATCTGCGAAACTCTGCTTAAACGTAACGTAATCAAGAATTACCAGCTGGGAAGGTTTCGCAGTGCAGTCAAACTCTTAATTCGGACCGGTACTCTCAGAAATAGCACCGTCAAAGAGAAAGAAAGAGAAATCTGTGAAAATCGATTTTTTGCCAACAAGGGGAATTGTCTCTTTGAGAGGGACATAAAGGCATTGCCTTCAAAATGGCAAAATGTTTTTGTAGAGAAACGTTGCCTATTTGACATTAATCGGTAAATTCTAACTGTGATATATTTTATATTTCGGCTTCTTGACACGAAAACTTCTTGTTATCATAAAATTTTGCTATTTTAATATTCATTTTTTTCTTTTTTTTTTTCAATGTTAAAAATTTTTAATTATTTTTTAATGAAAACAATGCATATATTCAGCCAATAAAGCCAGATAAGAAGAAGCAAATTATACATGATTAAGTGGATGATTGTTATATAATACATATCAGAGCAATGTACAATATAATATATATGTATATATAGTATATGTAACTGATAGGATAATGTAAATATTATGTGATAGTATATATTTCTTATGTCAGCTTCCGAAGGATATTTATATGGGAATACATATATATGTATGTCTAAGCGTATAAGTTTATGTATACCTATTATCACATCTTAAAATACTCGTATTTAGCCAAAGTTTAATTAAGAAATTATTATTTTCATAAAACTTTCTGTGTACTTGTATGTGCTATTTGCGTAGGTGTGCGTATACGTATCTGTGTGTAAAAATACTTGATTAAGTAAGGTAATATATGTATGTATATAAGTAAAATGTAACTAATGTGATGCAGGTCAAAGTAAAGAAGCAGGCATAGCATAAGACAAGTATAATAAATATTTGTTATTAACACTTTTGGATATTTTTTCTCCATAAAAAATGCTTTATTGCATTGCAAACGCTTAGAGAAAACAAAAAAAACCATATTCCAACAAAACTAAATAAAAGTTTTTTCTGCGCAACACAAACTGCAAATTTTGCAATACAAATAGGAAATCGGAGGTGCAAAATAATATTAAAAAGTATAAAAATTAAAATAATTATTGAGACATATTTTTTTTTTTTTTTAATATTTCTTCACCAGAATTGGGTACGTCATTTTGGATTTAATTTTTTTCATAGAAATATGTCAGGTATTTTTTAAATATTAGAAAAAAAATTATTTAAAATTTTATCAAAACAAATGGTTTGAGAAAATGAAAAGAAATGGTGTTTGATATTTGTGTTTGTTCTCAGTGTACAGAAATTTTTAAAAAATTTTGGTGCGTATCTTGCAAGTAGTGGTTTTTGGACTTTCACTTTTTGAGTTTGAAACATTATAGATCAACTTTCACTTTATTGGTTTTTGCATTTTAATGTTCAATTAAAGGAAACCAGAAATTATGTATTTTTTCGGTACGAACACACGTTATTTGGTGTTATTTTACGTGCCGGCAATTTAATTTAAATATATTATTATAAATAATAAATACTTTTGGTACTTACATTTGATCACCTTCTTTGGACTGCCCTTCTGTGGACTACCCTTCTGGGGTGAGCCATGTCGTGAGGCGGCCGTCTTTTTGGGGCTGCCACGTTGTGATTCTGACTCACGTTTGGTAATAGCCGGCATTAACTTTTCGCGTGTTGGCGATGGCAAGAGTGCACCCTCCTCAACATCTAAAAATAAGTGGAAATAGTAATTTGGCATTAGTAGGTTATTACGTAAGATGAGACTATCCTGCTGCCATTTGTGCATTTTGAACGCGTTGGTCTTATTTGAATTTCGAGACCAGTCTCTGATGGAAATGAAGTATGAAATGAAGGCTAGAGGATTGTTAAAAGAAATTGCAGTATTCTCTTCAAATGTTATGAAACTGTTAGAGGAGAGACAGAGAGAGAGCGAGTTAAGCGAAAAAAGTTATGTCTGCAGGTAGGTGAGTGAGGCAAAATGTATTGGTAAAACAAAAGCAAATAGCGGAAACATGATTTGGCGAGTCATGTGAGAGTAGCAAAAAATTTTGCATTTTCTTTTAACAAAATAAATACATATAGTAAAATAAGATCGGTTTTTTGGTGTATTTTTATATGACTTTTAGTATTTTTCAATTCGTTTTTCCCGAAAAGTGTCGAAATAAATTAAATACAGAGGAAAAGAAAACAAAAAAAACCTCTAGTAACACCTTCAGTTGATTAAACAATGGTATTCATCTACTTCAAATATATTTTGGGTTCGAGAATAAGTATATATCTCAAGGGTCATCTTTTGATAAAAACTTAATGCACTTAGTTCTATCAACAGAGAATATAATGTCTTTTTCCAAATAGAACCTAATCAAGACAAAAAAGGCGGTAACTTACAGCTCTTGGATCATTTTTTAACCATTGCTTACGCGATTGATAGGTTCACCATAAATAATTGTCAAATATAATAAACGCCGGTTGTTGTTTTTTGTTGAAAGTGAAATGGTTTTATAAATCTTTTCTCTTGAGAGAGATATATATTGTTTCTGTTGACCTCTTAGTACAACAATTAGTTCTTTCTTCTTGTACATTCCTTGAGATTTTTCAACGTTTTTTCTTTTGTATCCCCAACTGCCGTACAAAGCCGTCCACTTGTGGTGCTCCTCAATATTGGTAACAGAGAAGTAGCTAAGTAATTGTTTTTGTACTGTTTTTTTGTTACGAACTAGCAATAAGAAGTGATCTAATGCTTTTTCTAGAATGCCACCTAGCTTGATAATCTTGATAATTGAATAAAATGTCAACCGAACTCTGACATTTTATATAACTTGGCGCTTGTTTTTAGTACTGTTTCTCTAGAGCTCTTCTGAGCGATCAATGGGACTTTGTTTTCGATGTCGTAAACACATATCCATGTTTAGTTATCACTTCTAAGCCTTATCTCTTGAGTAGAATATGAAAAACCACGATTTATCGCACTTTCTTACAGAATCCTGAAGTGATTCCGACAAACGCTTTTCGAATAATTCTACTATTAAAATCTGCGGCCCTTTTCACACTGAGTACTTAATGGGTTTCCATGAAAGTGAGAATGGCTGATACTTTATTATCCACTATGAGTTGCTCTCCTACAATGAAACTTTTAATTCGGAACTGTGCTGTCAAGGTTTGGACCGTCTGAAGGAAACAATCAACCAGAAACGCCTAGGAGGACAACTGTGTTTTATTAGGACAACGCCAGACCACACACATCGTTAGTGCGCCTAATCAGAGGCTCCGAGACCCCGATGGGAAGTTTCTTATACTTCTACCTTATAGTCCATGCCTCGCACCAAGTGATTATCAAATGTTACTATGAAAAATGATTTGTGTAGTGAAGAATTGACTCCAAAAGATGGTGTGAAAATCTATTGACCCAATATTTTTCCACTAGAGATAAGTAAAGTAAAAAGTATAGAACTAAAGGATATTTTTTAAATGTACCTTTTTTTTTGTGTTCGTACTATTGCTCATAAGGGAATACCACACAATTAGTACCCTTTTTATAAAAGCGTCCCACAATATCTGTGCCCAATTCAATACTTTCAATTGAAAAAAATATATATTTAAAATTCATGTTTCGGTTTTTAGTGAATTATTATGAACTACGATGCAGATAACAAGAATTAATATAACTGACGGTTTTGAAAACCTCGCGTTGGGACCATTTAACGTTGGCAACAGAATAGCCCTCATATTTTTGTAATAAATTTGAATAGAAAATCTGATATTCTGTATTAATGTATAGTTTATATGTAAGTAGTATTTTAGTGTATGATCTAATGAGAATGTATGTAAATGATGTAAATGTATGTGTAAATTCTATACCAGGACCAGTGGTGCGCTCCAAATGATGACGTATATTGCTAAAACGAGCTGGCAGTGCGGAAATCTCATCTTTATTATCAAGCATATGGGCATGGCCAGGAACTCGAGTTTTTTGTGTGGCTTTACTTAATGGTACAGATTTTTTATTATTCTCCTGCTCCTTCTCCTCCTTAGTAATAGGTCTGCAATATGTAAATATGCATATTAGTAGCGGTAGTTTTTTTTTATCATAACAAAATTTTAAAGAATTTCAAGTGAAAAACGGAATCAATTAAAAATTTCAATGCAGAACAAAAATTGAGAGATTTAAACTTGTGCTTGTTTACACACAACTTTTTAAATTCAAATTTAAATTCAAAATTATTTTTTTTTTTTCACTTAAAATTTATTACAAGACGGAATAAAGTTTATATATTGTTAGTATGCATTAAATTCACCTGTGCACGGAAGATGCTAATGATAAGGCGGACAGTGAACTGCGCTTGGAAACCTGCTCCCAAAGATCCTTCTGCTTCTTATACAGCTCTGGATCGATTTCTATACCCCAGCCGCGACACTAACAGTTAAAATTATAATTAAAAAAAAAATATACATTTTTTTTAAAAAATGCTTTGAAAATTTCTCGCTGTTACCTTATACTCGCCAGCCTTCTTTCGCAACTCGACCACTTCCTTGAACCACAAGTCCAAGTTCGGCTGCGAACGTGGCGGTGCAGTGCCGTTCAAAAGCACTTCCTTTTCCGGCTGCTGCTTGTTGTCCACTTCATCGCCGACCTTGCCGCTCTTAATCTCATCAAAGCCGAAATTCTCCTTCTTGGTGATGAAGTGATTGGCGCGCTCCTGATCGAAAGTCTGCGAGAATGGTCTTATGGTCGTTTTTCGTTCAACCTTCTCCACAATGGTCACTTGTCTGCTCAGGTGTCAAAAATGTTTGCATTAAATTTTTAATTTTTTTTTTAATTTTTTTTTTTTTTTTTGTTTTGCAGATTTTGTTCGCAGGCAATCAAGCATTTGGTAGATTTTTCCCAATTTGCCATTTGCATTCGGTTACAGTGAGTTCCAAGAAAGCAGTTTACGTTGGTTTTTCGTTTTTGTTTTTGTTTGAGTGTATTTTTGTGTTCGCATTCGCATTCGCATTAATGCATTTACATAAGTATGCACGTAAGTGAAAGCAATGTGAAAATTGAAAATTGCATGCCAAGTCCACCATAAAATTCAAGTGACATGGTTGGTTATGTTGTATGATTGGTTGAATTTGTTATTGTTGTGGTTGTTGTTGTTTTTTACAATTTTGTGTTGGCATATGGTATATGTACACATATGTTTAAAGATTGTATTATAACGGTGTAAAAGTTGACATGTATGTGTGTTGAAAAAAGCGGCAGCGGATTACGCAGGACGAGCGGCGGAAATGACAAAAGTCGAAAAGAAATACAAAAAAAATATCACATTTTAAAATTTCATAATGCTCAAGTGGTATATATTGTGGAGAAAAATGAGAGGGAAAGAGAGAGAGAGAGTGAGAAGGACTGCTGGAAATGTGAATGACAGTGAAGATGACGATGGTGATGATGATGATGGTGATGATGATAATAATAGTGATGGTTGCCAAGGTGTGGCGGGAAATAAAGCTGATGCTGAATCTTTGATTAAGCAGGGAATATGGGAAAGAAAAAAAAATACATATACGAGTATATATATATTACTAGCATTTTTTCTTCACATACACACATCCCCTGCTGTCTGCTGGCAAATTTGTATTCAACGTTATAGACAAGTTGCAATTTGTTAGTGAACGTATGAGTTTAGTCACACAAAAAAAAAAAAAATCCAAAACGAAATGAAGAAAAAACTAGATCAAAATGTTTGAAATGTGCCAAAAAGGGTAAATGAAGACGAGCGTAAAAAAAAATTGAGTTCAAATTATGTGAAATCGTTTTTTGCATACTTTTCTTGTGGTTTGCTTTCTTCTGCATCGCTAACCAGCGGCTCCAACTCATGTAGTGTAGCTGAAAGCACATAAAAAATTTAATTTTCGTTCCATTTCATGTCTTAACAGTTTGCATTAACATATAGAAAATTTTCTTTAAATTTATAACTGTTTGTACACTTTTTTTCGTATTATGTAGCAGAAAAGATTAGGTCATTAATTGCTAAAAATTATTTTTGCTTAATTACTTACTACTCTCATAATAAATCACTACTATACAAAAATAATAATAAGCAAATAATGTAATATAAAAGAATATTACTGTTTATAATGTTGGTGATTCAAATAAATGAGTTTAAAGGCAATATTTTAGCACAAATTCAAGTTTACTTTAATTTTGCGTCTTAAAAATCTAATTTTTCGGATATCCCCAACTAAGGAAACAATGCATTTCGTTTTATTGATATCAAAAATAAACTTAATGACATGATTTTGTTTCGTTTCGAAACTAAATGACATTTTTAATGTTGAAAGCACATAAACTCATCATGAACGTTTATTTTAAAATGACTGCTTACTGTGATATTAACAGAACACTTCGATGTTACCGATTTAACATTAGCTGTTAGCAAGTTAACATTATATGCTAGTGATTTAACATTATCTGTTAACGATGTAACAATATAGGGAACATTTCGAAATAAAATTTATTTTGCTAACGGCTATAAGGATATTATTTTCAAATGTTTCAGCCAAACACATTCAAAATTTTATTGAGAGCGTAATTAATCGTTACGACGCAACATTGAATGCAAAGAGGATTTTTTCAGACAACTTTCGTACAATAAATAGAAAATTTTGTTCAATTAATGTAGCACGGTTTTCTTGGATGCACACAGCACTGCCGGGGGTTTTTGTCGATCGAGTATTGGACACAGAGAATGAACCGAACCATTAATTTGGTAATAAAATTCTACGATTTGCATTGATTATCCCGGACTAAGTCTGTGCATTATAGCGAAGGACGCTGTAAAGGACCACTAAATTATTGTGGGGCAGCGTGAATAGCAAACAGACCAGCTCCAACCTCACGGCGGTTGACTATGCATTATGTAGTGATGCGTCCATGGATTTCCCTTTAGCGAGGCATTTAGCATCTCAGTTACACCAGACGTTACTCAAGGATCGTTTGCGACGAAAGTAGATATCGGGCAATCTCTAACAGGTTTTTTGTGAGATTTCTAGTCTTGAAATTCTGTAAATTTACATAACTGAATCTTTCATCCCTTGAAGCTAGGCTACAATGCAACTTTTCGAAAATGAATACAGAATTTATTAAAATTAATTTGTGCTAAAAGAAATATCCCACCTTCAATCTTCCCGCTATGAATATGATCCAAAAAAGAAAACGTTTGCAATGCAACATAACTTTGACCAAAAAAAAAGCATAAATTAACAATATTTATTTTGAGGAAGAGGCAGCATTGGAATGAAATTTAGCGGCATGAAAATGAAAGTTAATGGCAAAATAAATACCAAAAATTTTTATTTGTTCATCAATCATTTAAGGGGGAGTGCAGCAGCCATTGCAAAGGTGAGAGAAATTTCACTTCAATTGGCGCTTGGGTATTCACTTGGGCGATTGGTTTGGTAATTGAAAATCGGAAATTGGCAACATAAAAATTGAAGAAGCATAAAATATGTATGTATTGAATGTGGTATGTATGTATGTATGCATGTATGTAGTTATGCACAAAGGTATATTGTATGTTATTATGAGTTATACAATTCATTTTGTGTATTTTTGTGTAAATGTATGTGCTTCCCTTGTAAATTTCGCAATGTTTGTATATAAATATATATTGAGATGAATATTAATGCACGTAGTATGTATATAATAAATATGAATATTTTAATGTTGTTATGATGATTGTACATAGTGAATGATTGTTATTAATATAGAACGAAATTTCATCGAATAAATCAGGTTGAATTGAATTACACGAATAAATTGATGTAGTAAATGTGGCAAGTGTTTTTTGAGGAGAAAATTACGGTAAAAAACAAAAATTAAAACCAAAACATATATTAAAAATAAATATGAAAAAGGACTTGAAAAAAATTTAAGCGTTTGTCTTTTTCATTTAAATAAGCCTGATATTAGCAAAAATCTTTAATTTTTGATTCTTCGCTTGCAATATTGCTAGGAAATAATATGAAAATAAAAGCAGAGAAGATTATTTGGCTTAGCAAGTTTATTTATCAGCATAAGCAGCAAAAATTTTGAATTTTCAAAGCTCAATTTTACGCATAAATTAGAAAGCTAAGCTAAAAAGAGTTATAATCGGTAAAAAATAATTATATATTAGAATATATTTTAAGTAAATGAAATTATTTCGGAAATAAATTGTATGGAACCTCTTATTTTTCTTACTTATCCACACATAAGTCCTTTACAATCAACCAAGATAAAATCAAAGCTTTTACCTATTTCATGAAAAGAAAAAGTTTTAGAAATAATGATTTCAAACAACTCATTGAATTCGCTTTCCGTATATAAGTTAATTTGTAACGTTTAAAAATTTACTTATGCCCATGGGTTAATGACGATTTCAGTCATAAAAATCATTGGGCGTAATTTATTCATATGTTTTGAAGAGAAATTTTATGAGTTTGCCTGCTTGTTTATATTTGAAACATGAAACGGCTACTCTCTTCACTTTAAGTTCAGCACTTTAGAGTGGGCAACGGAAAGACTCCAACCGCTATGCTCTTCGCACTACTACAACTCAGCAGAGTGGCTTGAGAGCTCCGAAATCTCAGAAAGCATATAAGGCAACATTGCTATAAGTCATCTCTCCTCGACAGTCACTCAAAACTTGCCCGAAATCAATTTCAATAAGGATAAAGTTTTGGCCATAACATTAAATTATGTGCGTTATGTTTCATATTGAAAACCCCGCGTCTAAAAAAACACCCTTGTGAGGTGTCTAGATATTGCAAACAAACAAATAGAACCTACTAAAAATTATTAAAAATTTTCAAGCTGAAGATATTTGTAAACATAATCTTCCCTGTCCCTAATGACGGAAATTGAAATCTCTTTGTATAAATTATACAAAAAAAAACTGAATCTCATGAGGGATGTGAGTATAAATTTCATGCCTTTCCTCTCAATCAACAAGAAATTAAAATTTAACTAAAAATCCCTTAATATTTTCACACAAAAAAAAACTCACTAAATGTCGATTTTGTACAATTAAGTTATAAGTTTTTCTTGTATAGAGGCATGCTCTCGCTATGATTCTGCTACATTAAATGATATTCTTTAAGAAATAAATTAAAATTATTGGAACAATATAGGAAATGGCGTTAAGGAAAAGAAACTATTTTCAATTTAGGTTGAATTTTGAAAAAATAAATTTAACATTAATTTCATTGAAAAGTCGTATACTTAATTTTCTGTTTAATTTCCATTATTAATGCAACTGTTGAATTAACCCCTTAACTCCGCTAGCTACATTGTTCACTCATTTCAAAATAAAGATAATAATGTAGAATAATATATCAATGTTTTCAACACTTCAACACTTACGTCATTCATTTCATTTGAAAAGTTTCAACTTACATTTGTTTTTTTTTTTGTCAAAATTTTTAGGTTTTAGCTATTACTTTTGAAAAAAGCATATATGTAAATATATATATGTATAGTAATTATATTACTTTGCATTGCTTTAATTTCGTTCTATATAAAAAAAGGAAACTTTTGTAGTAGAGAATTTATATTTTTTTTTGGTTTTTCAAGAAAAATTGGCAAAATTATTTTCAGTATAATCAGTATAATAGATTTTTGTTAGAGAAGTTAGCAAAGGAAATTTGAAAGCTAAAAAAAAAATAAATAAAATAATTCTATGAAAAATACAAAGAAATTATAATTTGTTAATTATTGAAAATACTATTTAAAAACTACGAAACCAGTTGAACTACTTTTGAAATTCAATCGTTTTTTCGAACTTAAAGCACTCAATATTTGTTTGATAGTGGCTCTTGGTCTTTTTGCTTAAAAAAAGCAAATATTTCAGTGAAAATAATGCTAGGAACAAGTGTTCTTAAAACTGAGCTCCAAATTTTGGTTGTGCCAATTTTTGCCCAAATTAATTTCCGAAATTCTAAATACTTTTATTAATCTTAATAATCATTCCTTTAGACACGAAAAAATGGTGCATGCTTTCGCAATACTTTAAAATGTTTTTTTTCTTCTCTTTTTTTAACGATTAAATATTTTCAAAAATCTTTCCTGGTCACTTAGCTTGTTTTGGTTTATTTTTTAAATCTACATTATAAAACATTAATATTTTTCAATGAAGATAGTTAGTAATTAACAGAATTTGCAATTTGTGACAAAAGGAGCGTGTCTAAAAATTTGCAGCAAATTTTTTTGAATATTATATTTAATTTTTTTAATTAATTTTTTTTACTGCACATTTTTAGAACATGTGAATTTTTTGTCTCACAAGTGCGCCTTCTGTAAATTAAAAAAAAAAAACACCCCTAATAAAATACTACAACTTATTATTTAATTTCACTTTTTTGTTTGTTTAAAGCAACAGATTTACGACGGCATGTACATAAAAAACTTTAAATTTGTTTACCAAACATGTTCAAAGGAAATCTACTAGCGCGAGTGTTAGATATAGAAGATTTAACAGCCAATTTTTTTGCAAAATATTTAAAATAAATTAATATATAAATTTAAAGATTCTTTAAGTTCTCTTTACATTTTATGGCCACTTCTTTTGAGCTATTGCCATAAAATTTCTATGAACTTGAGAAACGCGTTGAAGACGTATCACAACTATGCTGTGGTGCAAAGGATAAGTGAGTTCAGTTTTTCTATTATTTTTCAGTTTTTTTATACCTTTTTTTACAGCGCTCATTCCTAAATTTTGGGAAAAATATTTGTGGGAAATCTTTGACAATCTAAATCGGAAGAACTGCAATTATTTTCGTCTTGTGGATTTGAGTTTGCATAGAGCAATTAAAATGTAGATTTTCCATTGAAGCAAAAAATTCCACAAATAAAATAAGTGAAAAATGTCCTATAATATACATTTAAGAATGCTCACGGGCGTCTTTGGAGTAAAAAGTTTTCTTTCGGTACACCAAACTTTGGCTAGCAACAGGTCGCAAGCAGTTCGCGCATAAATCAAAAATTGCTGTCTTATTTAGCTTTATAAAAATTCTTTTATATCGAATGGCGCACTTTTTCCTTTACACCACAGAAATGTATCGAGAAATTTAAAAAATATATATATTTATTTAAGTAAATTTAGATTTAAAAAATTTATCTAGCATATTGTGTAACGTGTTGTTTACTTTAATTACACATTTTGCAATTTTAACGATTCTAGATATTTAATGTTCATAAATTAATTTAAAAGAATTCAACAAATTTTTACAATTAATTTAAGGTTAATTTTTCCATATTTTTTATCCTTTTTAGTTTCATTTTTTTTTTTTTTGAAATTACTATTTAAAAATGTTTAGCGACAATTTAATATTGTCGCACCTTCTTTCTGATTTGTTGTACGTTTTTTATGAACTGTTGGCATCGCCGGTTGTGGGTGTTGCCTGAGATGCAGTTGTTGCTGCTGTTGCTGTTGTTGTTGACTAGCTTTGAGCGCCCCCATAGATATTGATTTTCTGGGGTAATCCGCCGCATCGCCGGCCTCAATGCCCTTTATTCGTCGGACATTGGGCCAAACGAATTGCAAACGATATTCTGTGCTCAATTTTGATATGGTCTTTTTGAATAGGCCACTTGACTCACCCGCCTGCAAAGAAACGCACAATAGACAGAGAGAGAGAAAGAGTAAAATGGGAGAAAAAGAGAGAGAGAGAACAAAGCAAGAGAACAAGTATATAAATGTGTATAATTTTTGAGAAATTACGTAATAAAACAAACCAATAACAGTGATTTTTTTTTTCAATTTTATTCATAATTATAAATGCATGTTTGTATATACACAATTATAGCAAAATGCGATCACGATGTATAACACGATGACAACGTTGATGACGACAGCAAAGGTAGCAAGAATATTGTTTATTATTTTTTTTTATTTATTTATTATTTTTATGTATGAATGTTTTAAAGGATATAGAGCGTATGGAAAACAAAGAAATATAAGAAAATCATTGTGGAGAGAGAAAAGAGAAAGACAAAATACAAGTATTTTTGTAAACCTTTTAAAAATTATGACTAAATTGCATTTAATTATTATCATTTTTTTTTTTTTTTGATTTTTAAGTTAACAATGTTAAAGTACATAATTTATTACAAATAACTGTACACTTTTGAGATATATTTATATATTTATACGAAATTTCATGCAAACTTTTGGCTTAAACGATATCAAATATAGTACATTATACAATATAAACCAGTTAATAAATATAATCTGAAAAGGCTACAAAACTTATTTATGAATTTTAATTTAAATGTTAAATATAATTTTTTAATTTAATTTCATCTATAAACTGTCTTTTACTAAAAATGCAAAATATCATAAAATCGGAAATCATTTAACCAACTGACAACTACCCGGTATTAAACATGTAAGAATGAAGTGAGAAATGAGAGGAGAGGGATTGAGTTATATTCGTCTGAAGATTGTAGCCCAATATCTCAGCACACTGACTCAACCGCATATAACTATACCAGAACACATGAAAAGCGACCAAATATGGTTTGGCTTAAGCATTTGAAGCACTGCAAAGTTCCTTATAGATCCATATTTTTTTTTGTCGGTGCTTTTGACAGTAGATACTGTAACCATCGCCGCTTTGGCTGAAATGTACTACCTTCGACAGCGTTTGAAGACCCCATTAGGTATACTCATACCAGCTTATAAAGTAAGAAAAATGAAAAGAAATCCATCACAGCCATTGTGCCAGGTGCTTTCTTTACAGTTACTCGAGATGCAAGTTTTCATGAAACTACATAGAGTTTGGTATTTTTTAGGAAGCTATCTTCCAGTTATTGGGAGTGTAATGGGGTGTAGTCAAGCTTCTGGGTATGCTATTACAGGCTGACTTCACCGCCGTTCAAGCAGTGCAATGGACGAGACAAGGACGAAAGTGAGTCAGTTTTTGTGACATTTACTTCAGCGGCCATATGAAGGAGCACAAATTTGGTGTTGGCTTTATGGTAGGAGAAAGACTCTGTCGTCGAGTACTGGCATTCACCCCGGTGGTTAAGCGTCTCGCCATAATCCGCATCAAAGCGAAATTTTTCAACATATCGTTAATTAGCGTCCACGCCCCGACGGAAGAGAAAGACGATTTGGCAAAATATGCCTTTAGTGAGCGTCTAAAGCACACTTACGAGCGCTGCTTGGCGATTTTAATGCCAGGGTGTGCAAAGAAGTTATCTTCGGTACGACTTGTATAGAAGATTGTACCTTCTCTATTCAGTACTGCAGTTCATATTATTCTCTCTAGAATCAAATTGAAGAAATCACACGACAAAGAGTCACCTTATCTGAAGCCTTGTAAAAGTTTTGCGGCGATACCAAATTCAGACATAACGGCGTAAAGGCAGCTCCTATTCGTGCCTTCGAAGGCGGTTTTATACTCGACGATGAGGTGGTGGGTGTCGATACTAGTTTCATGGGTCCTTTCCAAAATTTGGCGCATGGCGAATATCATGTCACTGGTTGACGAGGTCTGAAACCACACTGATAAGATCCAAACAGTTTGTTGGTGGTGGGCTTTAGTCTCCCACACAATACGCTTGATAAGACCTAATAGGCATTATTAATGTGGGGTCCCCTTTTTTGAACTGGGCAGAGCTCACTTAAATTCCAATCGTCCGACCATATTCTGCATCTTGTCAGCTCTTAACCGCCATGTTTGAATAGTTCTGCCACTAGGCCGTCAGCTCCCGCCGCATTGTTGTTTTTTGAGCGGGTAATTGCTGTTCGAACTTCTTCATGGTCAAGTAATGGAACATCTTTTCCATTGTCTTCGGGCGCACCATCTCCATTTTCACTACAATTCAGCAGGTTGGAGATGTGGTCCCTCCATAAATTCAATATACTCTGAGCAACTGGGGCTAGATCACATCTTTATGTCCTACAAGAGTCTAAATTATAGCTTTTGCTAAGTCTGCTAAGTTATTCTAGAACCGTGCACAAACGTATTGTGGGAGCAAACCTAAACATTCGGAATGCGGTCCTGGTAACAACGTTCTGAAGCGTGCTTTGTAACCGCTAAAACAAATTTTGTCCGAGCTGCTCCTTAAATATGTAGTGTGCACCTTGATGTTTTTCCAACAAATGGAGGGACCTACAATTTCTACTTAGCCCTGAACATCGATGAATTTTCGTCAGATGCTTTTAGTCCATGTTATAAATACACACGGAGAGGTTAATATTCTCTGCCGATGGAACTTGGTCATGCTAAACCCAAACAGTGGCGTACTCACTCCGTAACTCACTTCCTACCTTTTATTCTTTCCCTTTTTGCTATGCTACTTTTTATTGCAACTCACTTGTAAATACAATTTACTGAATTGCGACAATAAATCGAGATTTTCCAATAGAATATTCGCAGATAAAATTGAGTTTATGACGCCAAAACTACCTGCTTATTTGAATGCTTACAAGCTTTTGGCTGTTCTCAAGAGGATATATGAGCATGCCTGCAATATGTCAGGTTATTTGATGCTGCAAGCGCTTGAGAAAATTCATAGTCATTTATATGTACATACTCGTACATACCTAAGTATATGTATGTTGTGCATATTTGTAGGTTCAGTGCAGTGACAATAATGGATATTGGAATTTAAGAAAGAGCTTTTGAAGGGAAATGTTCAAGTCGTATGACAGACAACTCGAAAAAAGCGGAAAAGCTTGCCATATCAACGGTTAACCGTTAATTTATGCCAATGATATTGTCACAGCTTATGAGGGTAAGTTTTCACAGACTCTATGCGACTTGAAGCAGGGGACCCCTCGGAGTCTCTAACTGGTATAATCGGTGTGAACTTTGTATCAGCTCAAATAAGCTGAATCACGTTCCATTCAATAAGACTTATAAAAGACATCCATCGCTTTCTATACATGTAAAAGAGCCTTTATTAAGAAATGAGGTCTGTCACTAAATTTTTACATCTGTTGTGAGACCAGTACTTTTGGATGAAGTGGCTGTATGGCGGCCTTGCGTTAAAAATGGAGTCAAACGTTAATTTTCTAAATAGAATTCAAAGATCAGATAGATCGAAATAAGTGGTACACTCAGGCCCACGCCAAATGAGGCCTTCAATGTAATCCTTAATATCTTACTATTAAACTTATAGGATTATCAGACTGTGAAGCTACCTGTTCTTCGCCTAAGGTAGCAAGTTCAGTGGAATAATCATAATCGCATATACTTAAAAGTGTAGGAAGCTCTCTGTTAGGCTACCCAATCATTGCAGCGTACTTTGAGCTGAAATTTTAGCCATTAAAGAAGCAAGAAATCGCATTGAAATTAAGCTCACGAGCGAGGAAAGGAGTACACTTCAGGAGATTTTTTAGAAGCTGCAAAACGATTAGGAGCAAGAAACGACCGCCTTCGGCATACACAGCTAGGCTACGATATCTAGGAACTGATTTCGTCGATTATTTGTATCAGCTAGCAGATGCTTGCATAACGGTCTCTTCAATCTTACCTTACCTAACCAGTGTTCGAGGCATTTCATTTGAGACTTATAAGGTTTTTGTAAGCGAATTATAGACCCGACTTCAAGCTGTTAGAAGGATTACTGAATACAAGATGGCAATAGTGAAGCGCACAATATTAGAGTGTCTGACGTTCGGCTAACACATACTGTGCTAACTTGGCACAGAGGGTCTTCAATTGGCTTTTAATAAAGCTCCAAAATAGATACTTTACTTTGAGAAGAGAACAGCATTGTTCTTCAGCAAAAAGTCTAGCCCTACAACTCTGATTATTGGACGGAGTATCGTCTAAGTGAGACTTAGTATGAGACAACATCTGTAACCTAACGGTTGAAACTGAGGAGCTATTATATAACAGATATTTGTGACAAAAAAATTACGCTTACCCAAGAATAGAAATAAAAATAAAGAATAAATATGGAATAAAAACATGAAGCAACCACATTTATGTAATGATATCATCTACATAATCGATAGAAATATTATTTACATACTTATCACTTAACACACCACAAAAAACTCATTGAACATGCCAAACAATTCACAAAAACAAAATAAATATGAGTTCAAGAGACTTCTAAATATTAACTAATAATTATAGAAAATATTTGTAAGAAGTCTTTTCTTACTCACATGCCTGGCAAATGCACATGCTGGATGATACTTCATTTACTTATTATTATATATGTATTTCTGTAATTATTTTGTATAAAATATGTAATAATCTTAAAGACTATCTAACTTCTAAACCGTTCTAATTATCTTTCTTCTATACTCTAGATCATTTTCGCCCAAGTTCACTGGTTTGATTGCTTGTTCTTAATTCTTTTAAAAGCAAGTTGATTATAGAATATATAATAATTGCACAAGTCCGCAAAAGCAAAGTAGCTATTTGTGCTTCTTCGTATTACAGTTTTTCTTCTTGGGAGTGCTGAAAACGAAATGACTTTCATTTTGTCATAGAACGCCACAATACATTCATTAGTGAGCACTAAACACATTTATTTTTCCAATTGATAGTCTTTTTGCTACCTATTCGCTAGTGGGAAGCGCCTGGAACGTCTTTCCGAAGCATCCGACAGTTGTTTGTCATCACCTTCTTCTTCATTTATATCTCTTGAATTTTCTGAGAAGTGGTTGAGATATAAATAAATAGCAACCTAACTCAGACTGTCTAAAGCCTAAAACGATTTCAACACGTTTTAGACGATTTATTAAGGAATACGACGGATCTTTGTTCTCGCCTTAAAAATTCTCGATTAGCTCTTTGAAGGCAATCCTCCCCTATTTCTCCCCTATTCTTCGTCATGGTTGGGATTAATTGTGGATCAGCCGTAAGCCATATTGGGCGGCTAGCACATTTTCCTTTTTCGGAGGACAACACATTTCAGTCCACCGATCTGTTCGGTATCTACCACCCTAAAGCCATAAAAAACCGGGAAATTCGGTACACACACATTATTGTAAGACCACATATTTATGAACAGTAGTCAATATGTATTAAAATTTGTACGACATTGTTCTGCGATGTAAGAGTTCTAAGTCTTCATTAAACCTTCGATAATGGTAAAATATACCAACCACTTGGGCAAATAACTGAAATGAAACAAGCAACTCATCAACCTTTTTTGATAGATTCAAACATGATTTCAAATCAATTACACCGCTCTGGGAAAACAATTTCGTATTACTATCAGTTCAGGTAGTCCTATCTTTTACAGAGCTTTAAACCGCTACTGCACCCCTAACTCGTTTCCATAAATAAAATTAACGAAAAATATCTATTTTTTATATGCAGGAACTTTGCACTTAGCAAGATATCCTGGCATTCTGGGGTATTTGAGTATTCTTATAACCAAAAAAATATAATCTAAAATGTAAAAATTAGTACTAAAATTGTATTGCGAAATTTTTTTTATATATGTATTTGGAAATGTGTTTTCATGTATAAATATTATTGAGGGAGAAATAGTTATTTTACTACAACTAGAATCCAATCAGCTCGCATTTTTGCTATAACTATTTTATCTTCCATGCTAGCAACTGGAATATTCAACATGACATTGTTCTATAAACTGTCATATGTGTGTTGAATTTCTACTTCCACAAAAAGTTAAAATGATTTTGCACACAGCGGGAGTCTAACCGTGAATCCCACGCGCTATCCACCAGGCTAATTTGATGTCGTAGCGAGGAGCGCAATTTTGCGCATTTTAACCCTCCGTCCGACGCCACACTTTATATACTTTCGTCCGACACCTGGTTTTCGTTCAAAAAATGCCATATATCGCGAATAGGAGCCGCTTTGTCGGATGCTTGACGGAATTGACGAGTATGACTATCGTCGAAACGAATATATCGGCCCAATGCAAGGAATCGTCTATATGACAAGCAGCAGGAAAGATGGGCAAAGCATCTGAACGCCATAAAAGTGCTGACTCTTGCATATTATTGTTTGTAACACCAGCAGCAAAAAGTATACAAATAAATGCATCAAGCTCAGTTCTAGTCAAATCAACTCAAACATTTGGCTTTGAATCTGGATTTTCTTCATTCCAATTTTGAGTAGCCAGTGCATTTCGATTTGTTTCGGTAATAAAAATGAATGAACTATTCGGTGTAAAAAACTTTTGAATACCTCAATCGGAACCGATGTTGAAAGTTTTGGACAAGGTCTGAATCGCATAATATTATGCTTATTAAAATCATACATATGTTTATATGTTTTCATACAAAATAGTGTCGGACGGAAGGTTAAGAATTAAACTCAGCTATACCATGCTAGATATGATAAAAACATAAGACGGTGGAAACCATTAGCATTTCCATTACTAGTGAACTGCTTTATATTGTAAATGACCAACTGGTATTATTTCATCCTCAAAATAGTAGTGACTAACTAGAAGTTTTGCATACTAGTCCACCTGGTATCTGCAAGGCAGTTGAAGGATTTGGGTCGTGATAAATTATACTTAAATTTATATACAATATGTATATATGTGTATAAATAAACAATTAAATAAATTTAAACTCAAGGTTTCAAAAAAACTAATCTTTTCTCACATCGTATCTTATTAACTAACTTAATCTGTACAACATTCAAAGTGGACGGGCACAGGTACGAGCATATTTAAACTAGAAAATACAAATACCAGCTCACAAAGCACTGCTTATTCATTATATATATATAAATATATATTCATATACTGTATATTTACAAATATGTATTTTTAAATATATTCTTATTAAAAATAATTAATTGTCATAACATATTTTAGACATACATACACAAGTACAATATTTATAAACGACATACTCTTAAGGTTAGCAAGTGCTAATAAAATACATTTGAAATGAGTGAGGTGAATGGAAAGGCATAATCTTAAAAATATACCTGTTTTTTTGCCGTTCCATCAACTTCCTCTGGTATGGCATATGCACGTCCATTGGGCACAGCTGGCGGTCCCTCTGATTTACTCCTGCGTGATGGTGTACCACCGCGTTCCTCAGACTTGGGAATAAAAGTGAAAAAGAGGAGATGAATGTTTGGTTAGAATAACTGTTTGTAAAATTTTATAAAAAATTTTCTTAATGCTTTACATTTACATACATATGTAAGCGAGCTTTTGTAAATAAGAATAACGTAAATAAATTTAGAAAAATTATTTTGGGACAGTTTTTTTAGGAATCAGACCACACCTCTCTTAGGAAAAAAATTCTCTATTTTTTGTAACTGATGAAATCAACCATTTTGATCGTTCTATTGGTTTGTTTGGCTTAAATGTGTTTTAGCCTTTTGTTCGACTATGCCAAAAAAATGCCAAGGTAAACCAAAACCATTATATAGAGTTATAAATTTCGTAGTTTCAAAAGTAAAGGGCTAACTATAGCAGGTGGAGTTTATGGAGGGAGCACTTATTTAGCTTCTCGGCTCAGCTATACAAATATAGAGGCAAAGAACTGCCAAGATGTGTGTATTCGGCATTTGCAGTACCCGTGGGATAAGTCTCTTCAATATCTCATAAAATTGTATCAAGACAACTGGGTGAAAGATTAAAGCTCACAGTGAACTAACTGGCCTGACCTTAGCAGCATATCTTTAGGGCATGCAGATCCACCATTCATCAGATATTCAATATGCGCGCAATCCTGAAAATGGTTTGCAATAAAAATACCGACCCATCGATTTTAGCAGTATGATTTGGCTTACCCCCCAAACCTTATACGACCGTGTAAATACTAAAAAAAACTCCGTCTGAACTGAGAGGTCCGAGCCGATCAATATTGAACAAGGTTTCCAATGGACTGACTATTCATCGTTGGACTTTTTTTAACCTGATGTTTAAGACTTAACAAAGCAGCTAATCAAATGGGTTTGGTAGTAAAGAGAAAAAGAGGAAAAATCTACTGTTATCAAACAAACATTCACAAACACAGAATAGAAAGATCTTCACTCTCTTGTACCGGGGTTTCCTTTTTCACTTCACTTGGTGCTTTTCATTAACGCCGAACAGCTGAAAAACTACTGTAAGCCCATATGAAGAAGAAGAGAATAACTAACAAGAGGAGTTCACCCCTATTCATACATACAAACTAAAATATTTGTTCATTGCTTTAATAAAAAACTATTCACTAATTAACATAGCAAAATGCTTAGAGTGTCAGTAGACCATGAAAGTGAACAAGGCCAATAGTAAAATAAAAAAAAATTAAAAATTAACACTAAATCATACCTACGTAAATTTCATTTGCAATAATGTAGACTAAATAATATTTTTATAAATTAAATTGTTGGTGGCGTTAATTTAAATTTAAATAAATTGGAAAATTAACATTTTTTTTATTAAATAAACATTAATTTCATTGCTGATAATTGGTAAATATAAACTAATACATAAACATTAATCAAAGTTAGTATATATGCGGGACTTGGTTGTGAATAATTCATGCGATAATCGTCCTTGTCAAAGCACATCCAGTCGCGTCGGTGGCAACAAGGACAACAAGCTCCACAGTGGGCGACAAGCAGACAATGCTAAATGAAGGTGAGTATATATGTTTGAAATAAGTACTATTTAATTGTAGGAAAAAATCAAGCAAACAGATTCGAAAATTCATAAAAGTAAAGTCTGTTATTGAATGCAAACCTTATTGTTCATGACAAGCCCGCAAAAATGCTGATAAACAATAAAAATGAGTGCGGGATAAAGGCAGTTATACTAAATAATAGTTGACATTAAAGCATTAAATATGAAATTTTTTCCGCGATGGCAGAATATGTACATTTATTTCTTAGAAAGTGACATTCAGAAGTTTTTATTTCGAGTCTAATTTAACTGGAAGTATTTTTAAGGAAAATATTTAACTTCTAGTTAATGTTAATGTATCTATACATATGTCCTTTAATACTATAGATCACTCATGAAAATTCATATAGAGTTTTTCATCTTTATGAAATATATAAACTGTTTGAATGTTTGTTTACAGTGATCTCCAAAGCTACACGGGCGATTGTACTGATAGACACATTCGGGTATTCGGATTCGTTTTCATTTACAGTAGCGATATTTAAGGTAAAATTATAAGCGATTCTCATGCGTTCAACTTGAGTTTGAATTAGCATAAAACCGAGTTGGGCCTTTGGCTTACCTCGAAGCATTCATATTGACCTTTTGGGCAGCAAAAAAGCGATCCACTCATACAAAAAAGTAGGGAGACCAATATTATAATAAAAAAAACTTAATACTTTGAGTTAGATGAAGCTTAACTATACTTTTTCATCATTCCGTGAAATACCAATTAGAATAGAAATTAGGCGAAAAACCGAACGCCCCTTCAAAGTGTGGCCGATTGCGCAGGTTTTAAATAAAAATCAAACAATTTTTTTTTAATTTTTATTTTTCTTTAGTTACTTACCCTTGCTAATCGATTGGCTCCGGCATGTCCACCTCTCGCATCTGTATACTCCGAGCCAATTATAAATTCGTGCGACTTGTACGCCAATTCTGGACATTTTTTCCGCCTTGGTAATGGTGGCTCATTCGTTGGACCTGTTAATGAGGCTTAAGATAGTTTTGAATAGTAACTGAATATAAGCGTTTAAGCACAAGTAAGCTTATAATTTATAAAAAAAAATTATAACAATAACTATTTTATTTTGTTTTTTTTTTTTTGTATTGATTTTTATTATTTTATAACACGTAAATTAAATAAAATTAAAGTTTTTTCTAGCAAAGCAGCATACGAAGGCAAATGATTAACAAAATGTAATAAATTAAAAAAGTTTTTGAACTTTATTGTTTTATCAACTCACCGATAAATTGACTTGGATTGGGCGCTGGCGCGCGACGCACCACTTCTGGCCGCGAATTGCCTGTGAACTCATGCCAGCGATAAGTGCTCCGATACTCCGAATGGAGCTGCTGAAAGTAAATTAAATAAAAAGTAAATTTTATTAGTTTTTAATATATCTATTAAGTTATACAAAGAATTGCGAAGTTATATTTGAATAATTAAAAAAATCTACGCGGCTTTACCACTAGTTGGTGTTTATACTCCTATTTCTTATAACACCAATCAGACTGTGTACCAGTATCTGAAAGCTAACATTTCACATTTCGACAAAGCAGCACTGCTCTTCTTCTATTGTATCTTTAGGTTAAGGAACGTTGCTGTTATTTTCGCAAATTGACGTACTCTCTCTAGTCCCTTGGAATTTTTCGATTGAAGATGATGTAATTTTTTTGCGCCGAGTAAGCATATGTAGCCTTGCCTGCCGACTGCTGGTCACACACAGATTACGTGCTTCACTATGTGCTTAGCCAGTTCGTCAGCTATCTCGTTACCTTCATTACTCGTGTGACCTGCACCCAGTAATTGTAAGCTCTTTTGGTTTCCGACAGCACTTGAGTCGCCTCTTTATATATCACATAAAACTGAAGTCCCCACTCTCCTTAGTTCATTTTGGAGCCGAATGTTACAACTTGAAAACCTTTGACTGCATAGTTTAGACAAGCCATCTGCTCCCTTTGTTGCTGACAGCTGACTGGAAACGTATAGCCCCATAGCAGTTACGAATGCTTTGTTTTTAACTACAAGGTTTACTAGTGAAATGCACATGCAGATGCCGTGAATATCCTTTCGTCTAATACGGGACAACGTCGAGCTATTTCTAAAACCGATAATAATGGGCAATAAGCGATGACTTAAATACGAGAAATTATATTGAAAACAATGGTCAAACACCGTTGAAATGTCGCAAACGGCTAAAAGTCTGTTTATGATGGCATCGGATAGGAATTGTCCATTATAAACTGATACAACCTGGCAAACCATACACTCTAAATTTTAATGAGATATTAAAATATAGCTTTCTCCATCTGATTGGAATTTTTTCGATCTCTACAAAACTCTCTTGATGGAAAAAATTTGGCGGACAGAACAGCAGTTGAAAGACATTTGGCCAAGCTCTTCATCGAAAAGTCACATAAACTCTATACTGCTATGAAGCTAAACAAAAAATGGCTGAAGTTTAAAGAAATTCATGACCATTATGTACTTGATTAAAATTAATTTACAATAAAGATATTTGGTTCAAGATTTTAAATAAATATTCTTTGAATTTTATTATTTATTTTTTACTTAATTAGACAGACATTGGTGCATAAATGGGAAAAACCTATATCGATGAAATTTAATTTTTTTTAAATTTTTAGAAGTCCTTCATATTAATACAAGAAAAAAGTTGTTTACAAAGTTATCAAGGAGGACCATATGGATTTATTTATTTAAAAAAGTGAACTCATTTACTCATTTATCCTTAAATAACCACACCATTCAAGGATTTACATAACATTATAAAAGCTACTATGTAATCATCAAGTGGAATGATAAAGCACAACAGCAGCGAAAAACTTGTTTTGCTTTGGCGACTTTCCAGTTTTTTTATTTTTTTTTATTGCCATTACCAATGTATTTCTGGCCACTAACAGCATTAAAAACAACGCTGAATAGCCTGTCATTGCGGTTGAATGAGAGGACAAAAGCGGACATGTTGGCTTTTACGTTAGACTTGCTCACACACACAGCTCATACATGTATACTTCAATACCCTGAAAGAATATCTACAATTTTTTCACTAGAATGCTACTGAATTTAAAAAGCCACTAAAATGTATATTGCTCTTGGCCAAACTAGAATTCCAAATTATAGAGAATTTATTTTTACAAAAGTAAAAAAGAGGGTCAACTCTTCCTAGTGTATTTCTAGCTTGAAATAAAAGGTCTTCATAAGAAAACGTCAGCCGTCCGGAGGTGGCTCAGATTAAATGTAAGTCTTTCCATTTGTTGAAAAAAATCATTGAGACGGACTACATTGAAGGAGGAACTCGACCGTACACTGCTTCAGTGGCTACTAAGCGCCAATTATCTATACAGCTTGAAAGCGATTTAAAAGCTTATAATCTTAAGACTTCTTCGTTTTCCCAATTGGCGTAGGCATCGTATATTTTTCTTTTTGGGAACTAGTTTTTTAACTAGTATAACTACACACCAATGTAACTAGTGCGATGCCTGGTCATGTTCGTGAAATTGACAATATATCAGTTGACAACTAGAATTGACAGCGTTTCCTACTGGTTATAAATATATACGTATGTATTTACTACAAACATAAAACTTGTATATATATGTATATACAATATAACAAGAGTAGCTCTCTTAATGCATTTGCAATACCCATATGACAGCTTGTAGCCAAAATTGAATTTATACAAATCACGAAGGATGCATAAAACAACGTAAATGGGAAAAAGAAAGTAGAAAGTATTGAAGTATAAACTAGAACTGTGTCTAGCCAACAAACAGAACCAAAATTAAATGTTTATTCAGCTTTACCGTAAAGTCAGTAAAAGGAATTACTCGTTTTAGAGATTACCACAAATCGCATTAGCAGGAAGAAAGGATTAAGACAAGAACTAATGAAAAAGGGGGACGTAGGAGGCAGTGTAAAGTTTATGCAGGTGTTTGCAATTAATATTGAAAAATTCATTCTCACAGCAAATAAAAAACTTCTATAAAGCTTTTATTCTAAATGAGCAAGCGATCTACTCACAGCCTTAACCACAGACCTAGGATCTAAATGGTGGTCTTCTGCATATATCGTAAGCATCCGAATAAAAAAGATTGTACTCGATGAAATGGAATTTTTTTTAAATCTTTCGATTTGCATGACACATAGGTAGCTCTTTGTCTAATATGATGTGGCAAGCACTTCCACTAAACTGACCTGGGCGATATATTAGGTTTGTCTTTTGAATTTCGCGGCTATGTACAAAGCGCTACAGAGCTCGTATCTGGCAACACTATACATAATTTGAAAGGTCTTGACATATGCATGATTAGTTTGGATATTGCGTTCAACAGTTATAGACGTGTAAACATGGAGTTCACTAGCGCCGAAATTCGCGCTATTTTAAAGTTTTCCTTTGTTAAAGGCAAATCCGCAAAAGAAACGTTCCGTGAGATTAATGGTGTTTTGGGGGATGGTACTCTATCACTTCGAACCGCGGAGGAATGGTTTCGACGATTCAGAGCCGGTGAAAACGACACCATGGATAAGCCAGCCGGCGGAAGACCTGTGACGACAAATACCGATCAAATCATGGAATACATCGAGTTAGACCGGCATATGGCATCTCGTGACCTTCTGGACCGAATCAACGCCTGCGATATGCTGTTGAAACGGAACGAACTCGACCCATTCTTAAAGCAGATGGTGACTGGCGACAAAAAATGAATCACATACGATAATATCAAGCGAAAACGGTCGTGGTCGAAGGCCGGTGAATCGTCCCAAACAGTGGCCAAGCCAGGATTGACGGCCAGGAAGGTTTTGCTGTGTGTTTGGTGGGATTGGAAGGGAATCATCCACTATGAGCTGCTCCCATATGGCCAGACGCTTAATTCTACCATCTACTGCGAACAAATGGACCGCTTGAAGCAGACGATCGACCAGAAGCGTCCAGAATTGGCCAACAGGAAGGGTGTAGTGTTCCACCAGGACAACGCCAGACCACACACTTCGTTGATGACTCGTCAGAATTTACGGGACGTAGCGCCAAGTGATTACCACCTGTTCCTGTCCATGGCGAATGCCCTTGGTGGTGTGAAGTTGAACTCAAAAGAGGCTTGTGAAAAGTGGCTGTGCGAATTCTTCGCAAATAAGGAGGGGGGCTTCTACGAGGAAGGTATTATGAAGTTGCCGTCTAGATGGAAACAGATCATAGAACCAAACGGTGCATATTATAACTAAATCCGATTACTGTAACACTTTTTATAAAGCATTGAATGAAGAGCAAAAAAGCTGAAGGGAGATATTTAACAACCTTATATTTCATAAGTATGTAAACATTCAAACACAATATAAACTTCAAACGAGTTTTATGTGTAAAAGTTTAAAGCCCTTTCTCAACGAACACACTGGGCGCTATCAGTGTGGCTTTAGAACTGGTAAATCCAAAAAAGCTCCGACACAGAACATCTCTTCTTTGCTTATCTACCGTTCTTAGATAGCAAGGAAAAGAGCTGCTTCTAACACGCTATGCCTGAGATTAATATCTTTCAAGACTTCTACGGCTTTGTAAACTGGTGCTGAAGAACAGCAAAAGCTCTATTAGGATCAGAGGATTTTCTTAGTGATCATCGAAAGAATGAAATGGCTCTAATATTGAAGGGGGGCAGACCCTTTTCATAAAACAAACAGTCAGCACATTCGAGTCTCAGCTCTGACCCACTTTGGGTAGAATAGACACTTGAGACTATTCGGTCGCCGTCTCGGCTTTGCTTTACTATGTTGAAGTGCTGATAAAAAGGAACGAATATTTACTATCAGTAAATAAGGAAAAAGATCGCATATTTACGGAAGTAGTTTCTCGGTTTAATTGAAAATCTGCAAAAAGGACATTCGACAAAAAATACATTTTCTAAAGTTTTGAATTGTTGAAGAGAGTTAAAAGTGAATGAAAAATGCTTTTCGTATTGAAAATCAGTTTGTGAACAAAAACATCGATTGGTCTGCTACATTTCAGCGCTTTTCTGGTAGACATTTTTGATTTGTGCCGAAACCAAACCTGAAACCCATCATAACTCGTTCAGCTCTCGAATCTGAATCGTCAAATAATATATCTACCGACCCACAGTGGTGCGCTGACAAATGTTACTACCCGATGCATAAGCGCAATAAAAGTTATATAAAGTAAAAACCACAAAATCTGTTTAACGAGCTCTGCTGCTTTGTGACAAATACCGCTGAAAAAATTGTCGCCTCGCCCACTTGCAAAAACCAACTGCACACGTCTGAGCACACGAATGCATTCTAAAAACAGTATTATTTTAGCTTGTTGTAAATTTATGTTTTCCCCAAC